TAGGTGGGGAAAGAATGCAGTAAGGCTGTCCTTCCCCTCAGGGCATTACTAGACTTCTCCACCCACATAGTTCAGGCCTTAACTAATAGTTGCTAATTTTTAATCTTTTTGGTCCCTCAGTTGTGTGTACATTGCATATGTATTCGTGTACATTCAGGTCAGAGGCCAATTGTGGTGTTGTTTCCACCTGGGTTTCATTTTTGTTTTTGAAATAGGGTCTCTCATCATCTCAGAGCTTAACAAGTTACCTAAGCTACCGACTTACATGTTTCTGTCTCCCTGGTGATAAGATCGTAGGCATGTGCCTCTGAACCTGGATTTTTTAACGTGGGTTTGGGGGCTCAAATTCAGATTATCATGCTTGTCCTTTATCACATGACCTGTTTCTCCATTCCCTACAAAACTGTTTTAGTTAGTTAGTTCGTTTGTTTTTAGATCTATTTACTTTGTGTCTGAGTGTTTCGCCCACATGTATTGAGAGACCAAAAGATAAATTAGCAGCTATTATTAAGACCTGAAGTAGGTAATTAAAGAATCTAGTAATGCCCTGAGGGGAAGAGCCACCTCACTGCATTCTTTCCCCACCCACTAGAGATACAGTTGCTAGGAAACTGGACCATCCCCCTAGGGAGGGACACCAGATCATTAATGGTCTGGGGACCTTCCTATAGCCAATTGATTCAAAATGTAGCATCTTGAGCAATAGATGCTTGCCAGGCAGGAATTGCCCCTGCCTTGGGCATGCTGGGAGGGACCAGAATCTATAAATCCCCCAACTAACATGGGGACGGCAGGCTCAGCCAAAGCGGTGGGTGTGTGTAGGCCCAAACTGCAGCTTATAATTTACAATAAAAAGAACCTCATGTATTTACAGCGGAGTCTAGTTATTCCTGGCCTTTTGGGGTTCGTGAACTGGGCAGAACAGTATGTATATGCAACAGATGCCTGCCTGGTACCTTTGAGGATTAAAAGAGAGTATCAGATCCCATGGAACTTGAATTATAGATGGTTGTTAGCCACCCTGTAGGTGCTACAAACTGACCCCAGGTCCTCTGTAAGAGCAACAAGTGCTTTTAACCACCGAGCCAAGTTTCTAGCCCTGCTTGTTTACTTTTTAACCCATTAAGGGGACGTGATGGTTTCTAAATTTCTTACACGGAAGAATGATTTGAAAGAGGGAGGGAAGGCGGTGATCTCGAAGGTAGTGATCTTTTATTATTACACTTATCAATGAAAACCTGTTTAAAAGTGTGTGTGTTTATCTGTGTGGGCACAAGCATGCCACAGTGTGAGTGAGGAGGCAGAGGATGACCTTGTTTGAGATAGCTGCCTGGCATTATGTGGTAATTTGAACTCAAGTCCTGATGCTTGTGTGGCAAATGATTTTACCCACCAGGTCACCCTCCCAGCCCCGTACTGAGATAGTAAATGGGAAAACTGGAGAGTCAGCTTCTGGAATGGCTGCTGCATCATTCTAGAAATGAGTAGATGGACAGTAATAATGGTTTGGACACAGAAAAAAAAAAAGCAAGACATTATCTTCTAATATTTTTCTAACTGCCCAAGCATTACGACACTTTAATTTGGGCTTGAGAGATGGCTCAGAGGTTAACAGCACTGGATGCTCTTCCAGACGTCCTGAATTCAATTCCCAGCACCCACATGGTGGCTCAAAACCATCTATATTGGGATCTGATGCCCTCTTCAGAGGACTGAACAACATAAATAATCCATTCATATAAATAAAAATACAATGTGTCAGCATATTATACTTAAATATTTTATGCTATAAATGATAGGCTTTGATAGACTTAAAACTAATTATTTAATTAAATTCATCCATCTATGCAGTCCATAAACAGTTCCTAAGATGCTCCTAGCACTTTGCTAGGAACAAATATGATTAAGATCACAGTCCCTGTTAGAAAAGGCACATAGCTAGTTAGAGAGACACACCTTAACAGAGATTTAGAAAGCAATGTAGCACTTAGTATGTGCAAAGAAGCCTACAGGGTAAGAGAAAGATAAACACAGTTCAAGACGCACAGGAAACGACAGAACAAGGGTGGGAAAAGCTCCAGAATGCATTATATTTTGGCACCTGAACAGGATGTTAACAAGTCTGGCTTCTCCATAAATCCCATAGACAATGACTATTTCATTTTCCACTTTTTCGTTTGGCTGACCCTGGAGGCTGTGAATTCCAGGGTTAGGTACGAGCATTAGAAGTAAGTGGATGAGACGGCAGGCTTGCATATTCCCACGGAAATGAAGAGGACCCCTGGCAAGTGGGCGCGATGGTGGCCTGGAGTATCATTAGAGTGGGGTGAAAAGGTACGAATCCTCAGGGATGGAATGGGAGAGATTTAAGGGTCTAAGGACATCAGCAAATAAATATAACTGCCACAGTAGAGTACAGGAGGGTGAAGACAAAGCCAAAATACATGGGACAAAACATCCAGAAGACACCAGTCCAGAGAGGATATATTTAAGATCAGTTTCAGAGATTTGTATCCATGGTACTGGACTCCACTGATTCTTTTCCCAGTTATCTTTTCAGCCTCCACAAGGTGAAAGCCAACCTGTCTGCCTAGAAAGGTCAAATGCAGTGGAATTTGCAGGTGCTATTTGCTCTCCTGCAAATGTTTCAACCCTCGGCCAGATTGAGAAAACCTAGTTTTTTCAGGGCATGACAGGGGACATGGTTTTCACTAGATTTGATAATACTCAGCACTCTCCCTCCCTCCTTCTCCCTTTCCCCTCTCCTTCCACCTCTCTCACCACTGCCTCTCTACCTCTCTGCTCTCTTCCTTGCCTCTCTTCTCTCCTCCTCTCTGCACCTCTCTCTCTCTCTCTCTCTCTCTCTCTCTCTCTTTCTCTCATCTTTATGCCTCTCTCATTTCCTCTCCTCTCTACTCTCCTCCTCTACCTCTGGGCTTCTCTCTCTCTTTTCCCTCTCCTCTCCGCCTCTCTCCATCTCTCCTCTGACGCCCCCTCTCTCTCTCTGCCTCTCTCCCTTCCTCTCTCTCCTCTCCTTTCCACAACCCTCTCCATTCTTCCTCTCTCCTCCTTCTCTCTTCTCCCCTGCCTACTCCCCCTCCCCCCCCCCCCCCCGCCCCCATCCCATCCCACCCCCGTCTCTCTGACAGGGTTTCTCTATGTAGCTCACTCTGTAAATTTGAGGCTGGCCTCAAATTCAAAGATACACCTGTCCCTGCCTCCTGAGTGCTGGGATTAAAGGTGTGCGCCACCAAGCCTGACTCAGCTTCCTCTACCTAAGAATAGAGAAAGTGAACAACTTACCTCACAAGCTATATCGAACATATTTTAGAAAGGAGCGTTAAGTGAGATATTTTGAACACTGAGAAATTCAATACAATGATATCAATTAATACACACATCGTATGACTAAACACTCTTCCTCCTTCAAAATGCTTATTAAAATTCATTAAAACTCGTTTCCTATGAAAATTCACCCTAAGGCTGTTTTAACTACTGTTAATTTAGGACTGAGGTTACACCACCACCCACAAGGCAGCTCGCCAAAGTAACTACAATTCCGGGAGTTCCGACTCCCTCTTCTGGCCTCTGCAGGAACTGCGTGTACGCGGTGCACTTGGCACACAAGCAGGTAAAAAACACTTTGAACATGAGAAAAATTTAAAAATTCTTAAAAACCAGTATTTTTTCAGTGGAAGAGTGTTTTGTTTGTTCAGCATGCAGGAGGTGCTCCTGCCCAGGAAAAGCCACCGCCAATGAAATGACAAGAACATGTTCGCTAATTGTTGACAGGGCTGAAATCGAGTCGGCCTGACCCCCAAGGCAGACGCGGTACTTACGGGGAAACATTACTAACCTGAATTGTTCTGTTTTTGTAACCTCAAAGCTTTCTGCTCCCCGATCGAACAGAGAAGCCATGGTAATACACCTTTGCCCACGCCTACCTTTTTTTTTTTTTTTTTAAATTCATATCCTGTCGTGCTTGCCAAGAGCGACCACATGAACCAAAGTACGGACCTGTGGCTTTTCCCCTTTATAAACCTGTCTTTACCAGGTCGAGGTCGTTTCTCTAGACTTGTAACCCTTAACTGGGTCCGTGTGGCTCAATAAAAACTTCAAATCCATAAAGAGCTCGTCCTGGTCTCTTCTTTAGCGAGAACCCGGATAAAACACCACCACCATCATCACAACAACAATTTATTCTCAACACTGAACAGATTTTGTGAGACTTTTCAAGACTGAAAAGTAATTAAAGAGCAGGCTTTTTTTTTTTTTTTTTTTTAAGAGCAAGGCTTTGAAAGGCACCAAAAGTGCCTTTCGGTCTATAAACTATTTTCTGCCGTACCACTGTCCTTGCGAGACACCTGCATTGCTGTCTGGCCCCGTCCTCCTCCGAGGAAGCAGAGTCGGAGATAATGCTAAACTGATAGCCAGGAGAGCCGGGTCTTTAGGGGAAGAGTCAGAGCGATGCTGGCTTTTTAAAAGACCGGACAGGACGTGGATTTCCAGAAGAAAACGGACACTCCAGAGCAGAAGTGCGGGAAGTAAAGTGATAGGAAGCATACACAGCCCTAAAAATGTGTGCACTGTCACGGAGCTTTTGGGACCATTTCTGTCTGTCGACAGGAAAGGGAGGTATCCTGGTCGCTTGCTTAATGTAAAAGCTTCCGGGCTAGGAGCGCTAAACCAGATCCCAGGTTTGAGATCCACCTGCAGCTCCCGTGGCCCCACCCCGCTACCTTAAGCCCAAACCACCTGGGAAAGGCGCAATTGTTCGCCCCTCCAGAGCGCTTCGCCAAACTCTGGTGGCGGCGCATGCGCAAAATCCTTCTCGTCGCACAAAGGCCGCGAAGGACGGTTCTGCGCCTGCGTTCTGCCTCTCCCTGGCGGGAACGCCCTCGTCTCCCCCTCCTGGACAAACGAAGGGGCGCTGCGCCTGCGCGCTGAAGAGCTGCGGGACTTTTATCACCCTGTCGACGGCGGTGACGTGATGGCTGAGGAGGAGGGCGTGAAGGAACGACGGAAGCCGGGAGGGACCTGGGGCGAAAGGGAACCCGGACCAGGCTTGTGTTCGGTTTCTTGGCGGGGCTGGGGTTCCGATGTGGTCCCCGGAGCGGGAGGCCCAGGCCCCGACCGGGGGAGACCCGGCGGGCCTCCTGCCGCCCGAGTGGGAGGAGGACGAGGAGCGCATGTCTTTCCTGTTCTCCGCCTTCAAGAGGAGTCGCGAGGTGAACAGCACCGATTGGGACAGCAAGATGGGCTTCTGGGCGCCGTTGGTGCTGAGCCACAGCCGCCGCCAAGGGGTGGTGCGCCTGCGTCTGCGGGACTTGCAGGAGGCCTTCCAGCGCAAGGGCAGTGTCCCGTTGGGGCTGGCCACGGTGCTGCAGGACCTGCTGCGGTGAGGACCCGGGCCGAGCGGGCCATGCGGGGGGCGGCTCCCCAGGGCTGACATCAGACCTGCCCTTTGGCAGCCCAGACTCAGCGTCCAGGGTTTGTTCAGTGGGTGGAGGGCGACGACGAGGCTGCTGCATGGATGGATCTCTGGAGAGAGAGAAAGAGGGGTCGGTTGGTTGGAGTGACTGGGGTAGTCGGAATGGTCCAGACGAGAAGCATCCTGGCAGAGGAGTCAGCGGGACACTTGAACTGGGATCCCGTTTTGCAGTTATTTCAACAGGACCTCCAGATTTGAATTACCTCGACGGCAGATCTCCGAGATGGGTACTTTGAATTAAGAAAGAACAGATCTTAGGAGAGAGTAATTGTGGGGTTATAGACATCTTGACAAGAGAACTTTGGCATAGGTCGTGCGAGTAGCCTTTCCTGGTATGTCCAAGACTGAGAATGTTTGGACTAGAGGAAAGGGAGAATTTAACTAGGTATCTGGGGCCTCTGAACTGGCTTTAGGTGATAAGTGTGTGTGACAGGTATAGTGTTCAGGTCGTGAAGAGGTGACATATTTAATAGATGAACAATACTTCATGGTTTCTGATACTGTCATACTCCATTCTCTGGCCTTTTCAATAATCTAGGGCAGTTATCTTCATTGAAGGTAAGAAACAGAATCTCAGAGAGAGATCAAGTTACCTATTCCAGGTTAGAGTGATCCCAGGAGTGGATCCCTCTTTTGAATTTTAGGTCCTTTGCGTTTCACACTGTACTGGAATTATGCCCAGCACACCCTAGCACTGTGTCTCTTTCAATGAAAAAAGAGAAAGCCAAAGGTCTTGTGTTGGTTTAGCGGAATGCTTTGTCATTAAATGGTCACCCTCCTTTACTTCTGTTCCCAGTACCTTTCATTACCTGACCTTGACCCAAGAAACCTTTCTGAAATTCTCTTCTGAGAAAGTGTACTATTGAAAAAGTTTTACTCAATGCCTCAAGTAGAAAACAGTTAAATCAGTGAGGGACAAAACCAAAATGGGCTTCCTGCTACAGGACAGTCATGGACCATGTCCAAATCCGGAGACCTTTGACACCTTTAACCTCTTCTGGCTGCTGAACCTTGAAACATCCTGGTACCTGTCCAGATTTGATATCCAAACATCGACAGCTTGAGGACCACACAGTTGTGCTCAGATCCTGGCTTTACTATTTTCTAATTAGTGGCCGTACAGAGGATACAGATGCCATCAGTAAGCCCTAGTTTGACCAGTTATCAAGTTACAATGACATTATGTAGGTTGGCTGTGAAAACTTGAGGATCTTTCTGTATCAATAGTAATTGTCCCTGGCAAGCATTTGGTAGACTTGGCTGCTGCTGTTACCACCAACAGGAGGTGCATCTCACTTCCGGCCCAGCTTAGAGATAGCATAACACCCCCACCTAGGTTGCTTTGCTTTCTTCCTTGGCTCTGCATCATGCACATGTGTGGTTTTTCATTCGATTGCTTCAGGCCCATTGGTAGAAGGAAACCTCCACTTAGGCCCAGTGAAGGCTTTTGCGCCTCCATTGTCTTAGTGGGACACTTGTATTTTTGGAGCCAGACAAGGAGGCTGAGCACTTGAGTAGAGGTGACACTGTTCCTAGTAGCTGGGACAAAATAGACTAGTGGTGGTGATGATGATGATAAAATGCCTCTGGGGGGGGGGGGGGGTAAAGGGGCAAGTATGGACTAGGACAGGCCATTGATTGCATATCCCTACCTACCTTTCTCTCTCTTTCTCTGCAGTCGAGGGGAGCTGCAGCGAGAATCAGACTTCATGGCCAGTGTGGATAGCAGCTGGATCTCCTGGGGGGTTGGAGTCTTCCTGCTGAAGCCTCTGAAGTGGACTCTGTCTAACATGCTAGGGGATAACAAAGTTCCAGCTGAGGAGGTGCTCGTGGCCGTGGAGCTGCTTAAGGTGGTTATGCAGAAGGGGGGACTGGGTGACATCAGGAAAATACCAAGTAACAGGACTAATGACTGAGTCTACATGATGTCTTTTGCTGTGAACCTTGTAGGCTTATTTGTTCATTGGTTATTTTTACTTTTCTTTCTTTCTTCCTTTCTTTCTTTCTTTCTTTCTTTCTTTCTTTCTTTCTTTCTTTCTTTCCTTCTTTCCTTCCTTCCTTCTTCCTTTCTTTCTTTCTTTCCTTCCTTCCTTCTTTTTTTTTTTTTATTTTTTTTTTTTTTTTTTTTTTTTTGTTGTTGTTTTGTTTGTTTTCAAGACAAGGTTTCTCTATGTAGCTTTGGCTCTTCTGGACTTTGTAGACCAGGCTGGCCTTGAATTCACAGCAACCCGCCCTTCTTTGTTTCCCTGCTTGCTGGGATTAAAGGCATATGCCACCACTTTACATTTCAAGGATGAGCTTTGTCTAGGACTTATCAGTAAACAGGTGATCACTTCTGGACAGTTGGAGGAATTAATGATAAGCTATACTTTAGGGTGTGCTCTGCCCTCTTCAGTTTACTGGCGAGAAATTCCCAGAATTTCACATTAAACTAATTAATGTATTTATTATTGTACTTGGTATTGAACCCAAGTTGTGTGCATTGGGCAAGCGCTTTGCTACTAAGCTCTAGTGCAGCCCTTCTTACTAAGCTCTGGTTTCTGTCCTCTCATCAGTCTTTTCCCTCCAACTCCACCGTAGCTTGCTTATCACTGTCCCCTCTCTTCTGCCTGGAAGAGGCAACTAGACATTACCTTCTTACTGTGCTGTCCGATCAGCTTCTTTACATGCTGCTTTTTCCTCCTAGGCAGGGCCATGTGCCGACTGCAGGACAGATGCAGCCTCAGAGCCCTGAGCAGCCATGGAGAAGCTCTCCAGTTCCACACAGGAGTTGGGTGGAATTAATGGAGCCATCTGGGAACCAGCAGTCACTTTCTAAAGCAGTGTAGTCAGTCCAATCCTGTGTCATAGAAGCAGCCTCCCTCGAGCTCAGCAGGCACAGTAGTGATTCTGTGCCACCTCCCATTTACTAAGCAGATATTTCATGCTCCCTTTGGTGATGCCTGATTCCAAATATGTAGTGAATCCTGTTTTCTCTTGTTGGCTAAAGAAGGAAAGGGAGCTTATAGGGAAGAGGATGTCAGGAACACTGATTTTCTCAAGGCTATACAAAGGAATCAACCAGAAAGGAAAATAATTGCCCGTGATTTTTGCTATTAAAAAAAGAAGGAAAGAAAAGACAGTGGGTATGGTGGCACACATCTGTAACCCCAGCACTCTGGGAAATAAAATCACTCCATAGTTTGTTTTTCTTTCCACTTCATTATGTTGGGAGTGTTTTTCTGGGTCCTACACTGTGTAATCTAGTTCATTTTTTTGGACAGCTATACAGTAGCCTGTAGGTCTCTTTGCCACCATTTATGCAGTGGCTGTCCCACAAGTAGGCTTTAAGTCACTAGTTTCTCTTGCTTTTCTATCTTTGCTGGTGCTGGGCTTGTGCATGTGCATCTGTGTAGTTCTGTGCCTTTTACATTTTTTAAAAAAAGATCTATTTATTTATTATTTATACAGCATTCTGCCTGCATGTTTACCTGCACACCAGATCTCACTATAGATGGTTATGAGCCACCATGTAACCACATGCTGGGACTTGAACTCAGGACCTTTAGGAAGAATAGCCAGTGTTCTTAACCTCTGAGCCATCTCTCCAGCCCACCTTTTACATTTCTAACAAAAATAATTGCCCAACAAGGGGCTGGGGGACAGCTCAGTTGGGTAAGTGCAGACCAGGGTTTGGCTCCATAGCACCCACATAAAAAGCTGTGTGTAGAGGCCCACCCTTGCGATTCCAGTGCTGTGAGGGGAGCTGGGCTTCCCTGGGGCCTGCTGGCCAGCCAGGTCAGCTGAATTGTGTACCTATCTTGATGATACCTACCTCTGGGCTCCACATGCACCCCCACAGCGCCTACACACGTGTGCACACATGTGTGAACACATATCAACACACACACACAAAACAATACCTCATGTTTTAGGTTGGTTCTGTTTTGTTTTGAGGTGTGTGCGTGCGTGTGTGAGGCAGGTTTTCGCAGTGTAGTCGAAGTTGGTTTCAGATTTGTGGCAGTCCTGCCTCAGCCTCTCAAGTGCTGGAACCATCGGCCTGATTCACCTTGTGTGTGCTAAGCAGGTACTCCACCAGTGTCCTGCATTTCTAGCTTCCTTTCTATGCTAATTATTTTGTGCTTTTTTTTTTTTTTTTTTTTCAATTTAAATTTCAGTTCTTGAGTGTCTGTGCACACGTGGTAAGCCAGCCCGCCCACCAGGTTTCTCCGTCCCTTTTACTAATGCAGTGAAATGAGTCTTGTGTGTGGCTGTCGCACTGCTCTTAGTGGTTTTCGCTGTGAATGGTGAGTCTAAAGGGAACCATAGTCTCTGTCTTGCTAGACTCTTGTTCGCTGTCCTGGATGTGCCTAACTGCATGCTTCTTATAATGGTTTTATATCCTTGGTTTTACTCACAGTGAACTGTGGTTTCTCTTTGGTTCCCCTAGGTAGTCCTGTGGGGCTCTGTGGCTCACCTCACTGTTTCGACACTGGTCTTCCTTCAGCTTGCCACTTTTCCCTTGAATCTGCTTGCTGTTCTCTCACGCGCGCTTGTGATCTTGACTGCCCTCTGTGTGCTGGGGACCGCTCTCCTTGCTCTCCTGTAGTCTTCTTTCAAGCTTTCACAGTTGTGTTTGCTTAGATATCCCAAAACTGCTTATCCAAAGTGGAACGTTTGGTGTTTGAGACAGGCTTCCCCTGCATTCATGTATAAGTCACCCCAGCTACAGCTATGTCCCCTTTTTCAGCAGCCCTTGTTCAGACACCGTGGGCTGCTTCTTTCTCCTCTAAGTTTTGCTCGGCTCTACCCCATCTCTCTGTGTCCTAAACACTCTCTTCAGAGAGGTCATGATGTCTCATCTTGGATCAATGGCTTCCCTGCCTCCAATCCTAACTCTTCAGCCCACTCTTTGCCAGCTCTTTGCTCTCTGGCAGTCTAGCCGTGCAGTTCCTCACTGAGTTCCCGTCCTCTGCACATCAAAGAACAGGAGGGGACATGTTCATTTTATACAGTACAGCAGTGCCTCTCTCCTCGCTGCCTTCCCCTCCAGGGACACACACACCATGTGAACTCACACTTCTGTGCCTAGGTCTGCCTGTTGTTTTTGGACAACTTTCTCCACCTCTGTCACTTCGGAATGACTCACCCTACAGCATGTGGTCAGTGACCTCTTTGTTTTGCTTTTAAGAACCCTCTGAATTCCCCTGTCTGAGGGGGAGTAACACTGCTCCTTGGCACTCTGCCCGCTAGTCTTCTCGCTAGTGCAGCCTGCCTGTTCCTCCTGTCTACCATGACGCGCTTGTCCTCTTCACTCCTTGTACAGGCATAATGACATTCACATCTGCAGTTTTGCGTAAATAGAGAAACCAGGATGGAGAGGGCATCATCTTCTCAGTTCATGGGCAAGAAGCTGAGGATCCAGGGGACTGGCTAAGCTGGAAGTGAGCTTGGGTTCTAGATCACAGCCGCTTCCACTCGGCCCTCTGCTTATTCCTCCTGTGAGGAGCCTCAGGCCAGGCTGCTGTGTTGTACATCTTGTTTCATTCATATAGTCACCACTCTTTCCCAAAGTTTGAGAAGTATACAAATCCTGTGTGTGTGTGTGTGTGTGTGTGTGTGTAGTATACATAGATATTCATGTGTATACGCATGTGTGGAGGCCTTTGTGTGGAGGCCTGAGATGACCTTGGACGTTCTCCACCTATGTATCTCTTTACATTTATTGCTTGCTTGCTTGTGTGCATATACTATGATGTGCCTGTGCCTGTAGGGTAAGAGGACAATCTATGGGAGTCAGTTTGCCCCCTCTTATCATTTGGGTCCCAGTTATCACACTTGGTGGCAAGTGCCCTTACTCACTGAGTCATCTCACTGGCCCTACTTTATTTTTTTAATCTTTCACTGGATTTGGAACTCACTGTTGGCTAAGCTGGCTAGCCAGTGAGCTCTAGGCATCTGCCTGTCTTGGCCACAGCAGTGCTGGGGTTACATGCCTGGCTTTTTCCTGGGTGCTGTGTGCTCAAACTCAAGTCTTCATGCTTGCCTGGCAGGCACTTTACCAGCTGAGCCACATCCCTAAGCCCCTTTTCAAAGCCGCCACTTGGATGGGGCCAGTACTCCCCAGGTCTTAAAGTTGTGGGCTCATGGCTCTGAAGCTCAGGGTCAAGGCTCATGTGTCCTGTGGTGGTAACCAGGGCCTCGAATCTCTTTGCCTTCCTTGCAGGAAAAGGCTGAGGAGGTGTACCGCCTGTACCAGAACTCGCCCCTCTCCTCACACCCTGTGGTGGCCCTGTCGGAGCTGAGCACTCTGTGCGCCAACTCCTGCCCAGACGAGAGGACCTTCTACCTGGTCCTGCTGCAGCTGCAGAAGGAGAAGAGAGTCACGGTCTTGGAACAGAATGGAGAGAAGGTGTGAAAGCATGCCTGTCCACGAGTGCGTGCACACGCACGTGCATGCCTGTGCATATGTGTGCGTGCATGGACTCAATGACTTAGTCTGCACTCATGTGCCCACCCCAGGCCTGGTTGTGAATTTCTCAGCATGTGTGGTAAGGACAGCAGTAACTTGTGCCTGTCCCCCAGATTGTGAAGTTTGCCAGGGGGCCACATGCCAAGGTGTCGCCTGTCAATGATGTGGACGTTGGGGTCTACCAGCTGATGCAGAGTGAGCAGCTCCTCTCTCGAAAGGTTGAGTCTCTATCCCAAGAGTCTGAGAGGTAATCTCCTTCCCTGCCTGGCTGGCCCTGGACCCCAGCATGAGTGGGTCTCCTCCAAAAGGAAAAGCACAGGCTGGGAGTATATCTCCATTTACAGGGTGCTCATCCAGTGTGTTGAAGCCAGGGGTTTGCCTCCAAAAAGTTACTTATTAGTTACATACTTACCAAGTACTGACCAAGCACTTACCAAGTGCAGAAAGCTCCTGAAACAGAAAATAAAGGAGAAAACTTATTTCTCTGGCGGTTACAATTGTTAACAATTATGTTATTCCAAAGCCTGATGTTGTCCTGCCAGTGACTGGGTCTGTGCCTTCATAGGTCCTGTTTTAGGAGCTCTTGCTTTTTCCTTGGGGTGCTTCTACAGGGATCCTTGATAGCAGCCACAGACACCTCCACATACTGAAATAGAAATCTTCACTCCGTCTCTCAAAGAAATACAGGAGTGTTCGGGGACTCAGAGACATGTCCACAGTCTTTAATGTGTAGGGACCAGTCCTGTGCTTGCAGTGGAAAGATACGTGTATAATTCTCTCACCTTCAGCACTGGATCGCCTCGCCTTGCCACATACAGGTGCTGGAGCCTGTGTTGAAACTTGCTTCTAGAGGCTGGCAGTGGGTTTTGGGCCATCTCCATGGCTGTGGGTTTAGGGAATTCTTCAGATCTGCAGCTACTTTAACTAAGTGCTCTCAAGCATTCTTGGAGACTCTGCCAAGGCTCATCTCCCCTTCATTCCACAGGTGCAAAGAGGAAGCCCGCCGGGCATGCCGGGCAGGAAAGAAGCAGTTGGTAGGTTCTCTTTTCCTGCAGCCTTGGGGTGGCATCCCTAGCTGTCAGGGACAGGGGCCCAGCAGTTCAGAGAGCAGCGTCTGCAGGGGGCTCTGGCACCACAGCTTAGTTTATAGAGAGCAGCCCTGGGAGCGGGGCTGTCTCGCTTTCATCTTGTGGCCTACCATGTCCCACCCCGATCTGTTTTCATACCCACCAGGCACTGAGGTCTCTCAAGGCCAAGCAGAGGACAGAGAAACGCATTGAGGCCCTGCACGCCAAGCTGGACACTGTTCAAGGCATCCTGGATCGCATCTATGCCTCCCAGACAGACCAGATGGTAGCCACGCCCCTCCGTGCCCTGTGGTCCCAGTCTCCTACACTGAGTCTCCCTCCCTTGTGACCTACTGTTTCAAGGAGTTCTGGGTTCTTCCAGGGTGTGGCTGGGTTTCCTTTCTTGTTGGAAAGTTTAGCTTCTGTGGGTATAATGTAAGTTGACCTTGGTGGCCAAAGGTCAAAGTCAGCTTGGAGATGAATATAGCAAAGTTGTCTGTATTCTGGCAAATGTCGCAAAGGTAACTTGGTCTTCCTTTTAGGTTTTTAATGCCTACCAGGCTGGTGTGGGAGCCTTGAAACTCTCCATGAAGGATGTCACCGTGGAGAAGGCAGAGAGTCTTGTGGATCAGATTCAGGAGGTACAGGAGCCTGAGAGGGTCCATGAGAAGTTATAGAGAGCATGGTTGACTTATTGCAGGCCAGTTTTCCAAACTTGACTCAGCATTGTGCCCAAAAGAAACCATTCCTAGACTATCAGATCTCTGTAACCCAGAATATTTCACCTAAAGGCCTTGAGCTGCCCAGAGCCACCATTTCCTTCAGAGTTTTGTGTTTGTCTCTTACAGCTATGTGACACGCAGGATGAAGTTTCTCAGACCCTGGCTGGTGGGGTAACCAATGGTTTAGGTGAGTTGACAAGGATACTCTTCTCTCCTTTCTGAGGGACATCACTTCCTGGGCCAGGACAGGTCTGATCATGGACTTGGCCTCTCTCTGGGGCTCACCTGCATGGGTGGTTGGAGGGAGTTACTGTTCCCTCCCTGACAGGTGTTCTGGTGGTCCTCTATACTCCATCTGCATTCTGACAAAGCTTCTGTCCGGCAGTCCTCTCTCAGGGCAAAGGGAAGCAGGGCCAGGTTCCTGAGGGCAATAGACTTTACCCATCGGTCAGCCCAGCTCTGCTTATAAAGAAAGAGTATCTGCCTGAGGGTATCCTTTGCCTCATGACTCATGTGACTGCCGACCTGCAGAGGGACTGCTGGGCTATGAAAGCTGAGCTGTCCCGGCCACATCGGTTCATCTTTTTCCTGGGGTTGATGCACCATCTCTCTCTCCCAGATTTTGACAGTGAGGAATTGGAGAAGGAGTTGGACATCCTCCTTCAGGACACCACCAAAGAACCTTTGGACCTGCCCGACAACCCCCAGGAGACGCTTTATACCAACAGTGTGCCTAAGCCTAGGATCTTGGATGCTGAACTTGAAGCTGAACTTGAAAAACTGTCCCTATCAGAAGGAGGTATGGAGCTGTTTCCCATAGATCCTAGACATGAGACTGTGGCTGACAGAGGAGCCAGACACAGGACAGGTTCCATCCCAAGAACTCATTGCCTGCATCCCAAAGCCTGCAAGGGACAGGTGGTTATGTATGTGGACACCCAGAGGCTTTAGGTTTTGGATGCTTTGGTCCTGGGACTTCTTGCTGAATATTATCATTTCTTCTTGCAGGTTTGGTCCCAAGCAGTAAATCTCCAAAAAGACAATTGGAGCCAACTCTCTAAAGCCATTGCAGGAACTCAAGTAAAGGACCCTCATGTAACAGAGAGGCAGCCTTGTGTGTGTACATAGTTATTTAATGAGAAACACTGAGAAATTGTTGAAAGAGGAGGGAAGAACCACTTTTGTGTATCTGGATGCTGCCACTCATGACAGGACAGATACAGCTTCTGGAAGCCATGCTGTGAAGGTGTGCTCCCAGCTGATGTCATGGACCTACCTTCTCGTCTTTAGAGTGCCACAATTTATACAGTTCTGTGTTTGACCTGTCGTCTCATAGCCTGCAGTTCTCGCCTTTGGCTCCGTTAGCTTTGTCCTCACCCACCAGCTTCACTCCAGCCAGGGAAGGTGAAAGGTCTGCAGCTTTGCCCATCAAAGCCAGGCCTCTCTTCCACTCCTGAGGTTTTTAAAACAGTTTTGTTATCTGCAGTGCAGTTAAACTGTTCCCCATCCTCTACTTTATGGGGATTAAGAATGAGAATCAACCAAGAATGGGATTAAGACTGGGATTAAGAATGAGAGTCAACTCAGAGAGACCTGACAGCCGAGTGTCTGGAGAAACATTGTCTACATGATGTCCCTCTACATGCTTTGTCACATTCCCCGGGTGTTCATGGCTCCGAATGGTTCAGGGTCATGGCAGTTGCGGGGGTGGCTTATTGACTGAGGGCCACAACCTCTTCTGTCTTAGGCAGAAGCTGATCTGCTGATGGGGTGGGGAGAGGGCTAATCTGTATTTTGAACTTGAGTAGGAGAAACCTAAGTAACCTACAGGGCCCCATGGTGTAAAAGAAGCTAAGTTTTTGCTTTGGCCCCATCATAAATTACGTGTTTTCTGGAGCAAGCCACACAGTGCCACATTCCCTGTCTCTTGAGCCTGACATTCAACTGGCAGGCTCCCTGTTAGGACCTGGAAAGCGTCTTACGGCGCATCCACCACTCAGGGCAGGGGCCCGAGCCAGAATGTGCAATAGAAGGAGGTGGCGCTGGCCTGCTGCATCTGCTGTGTGCCGCCCCAGGCCCTGCTCTGCCCTGCACCTGCCTCCTGCAGGCGCATCTTCTTTTCTTCCATGAACTGCAGGGCAGGCGGGAGAAGGAGATCTGAGTGCTCTGGTGGCAGCATGGAGAAAAACCACACTGCCGTTCTGCTGCCCAGGGACGATGACTGCCTGGGTCTCTTGGCACTGCCCCTCCTGCTTGAGGTGGCACAGAGCAGAGGGGAGGGCTTGGCTTCAGGCCAAGGTGCAGGAATCACTGTTCGAGTCTCTCCCACTCGGCTTTGGCAAATGGAAATATTGGGGGTGAAGAAAAACAATCACTATTTTTTCTTTTTTAATCTGGTAAAAATAATTAAAAGAGAAAAACATCAGGTTTTGTTGTTGCCTATTCTTTAGATTGTGGATTGTCCTTTTTTTTTGTTGGTTTTTCTTTTTCTGAGGTAGGGTACCCTGTAGCTGAGACTGGCCTTGGATTCTTGGTCCTCTGACTTCCTAAGTGCTGGGCTCACAGCTGTGCAGCACTGTGCACAGCAGGCTATGCCACTGTGTCACTGACTTGCTCCTTGTCTCCGGAAGTCCCGCATACATCTACACCTACGCTCTCTTTCACCCTGGCCTCTGGAAAGTTGGAGTCGCTGGATAACGGCCCGGGCTGCAGGGACTCCTGTCTGTCTCTGTGAACTCTCCCGCCAGCCCTGGACTGTGCTGTACTGTCTCCCAAGTTCCGTTCTCCAAAATGAGAACAGCCCTGCTCGTGCGATCACCACACACCAGTCCAGCACCTACCTGGTTTTGTGTTGCACTTTGTCTCTTGCTGTCTGAGCTGCTGAGCTCTCCTCACCCACCACCTGCCACAGGAAGGCCAGAGCACTAAGACACAGTTTTTCTTCACTGGCTCCTAGTGTGCTGCTGGCTCCCTTCCTTGTTCTCAGTTCTTCTATGCTCCTGGGCTGTGGCACCTTCCCACCTTGTGCCCGGGAGACCACTTCCTCAATCCCATGGTCTGTGGCTTAGCAAAGCCTGCCAGGCTTTCGTCTCCTTCCTGGGCTGTAGTGGAAATAGGCAACTTCAGTCAAGAGTGTCACCCTGCAGAGACATGTCCAACCTGTAGAAGGAACCTTGGTTCTCACCTTCTCACAAGAGTGAAACCAGAACAAGACAAGCAAGGATAAGCAAGATAAACAACAAGATGACGTTGGCTGTGTGACATTGGCCAGCTGGTCTTTTGTGTGCTTTAGGTTCTTTTTTGGTTTAGTTACATGTGAGCAGGTGTGTAGTTGTGAGCTGCCTGACATGGGTGACGGCAACTGAAACCAGGTCTTCCAAGAGAGTAGTACATGCTTTTAACTGCTCAGCCACCTCTCAGCTCCTACTTTAGTTTCTTCTTTAGTTTCTTCTGCAAAATGGATGTCAGTAGTGATACCACTCTGCTAGCACTGTGTCAAGAATAAACGAGCTGAGTTAGACAGCGGTACAAGGTGCCAGGTGCCTGGGAAAAAAGTTCAGTATGTGAATTCACAAAGCCCATGGCTGGCCTCAAATTGAAGATCCTCCCGCCATGGCCTCCTAATGGTTGGGATTACAGACAAGTAACACCACAGACTGTTTCCTCTGGTCCTTTAAGAAGGCCTAGAACTCAGGCTAGGCTAAGGCTATGGTCTCCTAGAAACAGAGGGATAACAGCAACAAAAAGAAAAAAAAACACCTGAGATTTTGATGACTACAGAAGGCAACAGGTAAAGGAGGGAATGGTGAGGTTTTCACTGGCTTCTCCCTTTAGTCCCTCTGTCTTCCCACTTTTTCTCTACAGCTGTCCCTATCTCTGCTGTTGTAGTTTGAGTGTGAACTGTCTCCCCACAGTTTCCTGTCTTTGAACACTTGGGGCCCAACTGACAGTGCTGCTTTGACAGATTGTTAACCTATAGGAGAGTCTTCCAGGAGGAAATGGATCTTTAGGGGCGGGCCTTGTGGTTTTACAGTCCAGCCCTACTTCCTGTTTTCTGTCTGCTTTCCAACTGTGACCAGCTTCCCATACTTTTGCCATGCCTTCCCTGCGATGATGATGATGATGATGATGATGATGATGATGATGATGATGATGAAGATGATGAATGTGTCCTTTCTTAAACTATAAGCCAAAACAAACCCTTTCTCCCTATGGTTCTCCTTGCTGAATTCACAGAGGCACTTGATCACAGCAAAGGGAAAATAATGAATAATTTGCTTTGCCACCCTCACCCCCACCCTTCTTCAGAGGAACATCTCTTGCTTACGAGTATTTCATAACTGATTTTCTTGGATTTGAAGGTTTAAAACGTATTCTGCAATCAGTAATGATTTTTAAAATAGATTGTGTACGTATGTGCTACAGTCCACAGGCAGAGATCAGAAGAGAGTTTGGGATAGTCAGTTCTTTCCTTCCAAGGTGTGGTGCCCAGTGATCAAACTCTGTTTGACTCAGCAGCAAATGCCTTCACCCACCGAGGCATTTCTTGAGACTTCAATGATAATTTACTTTCATCCACAACCACATAAAGGAATATGCATACACACACATACTCAAACATACCACACCACACCCCAACAGGCACCATCCTCCACACACCACACAAATACACCATATAACCCCCCTGCATGAACAGGCATATATATGTAATGTTTACATTTATATATTACATATATATTATATAATATATATACATAGTATACATATATACATAATATATATTACATGTATATATGTATATATATTCATATATATGTGTTTATGTATATTTGTATATTTACATACACATATATACACACAATTTTGATCTCATCAACATTTTCAACTTTCCTTTTTTATTTCCAGTTCGTATGTGTGTGTGTGTGTGTGTGTGTGTGTGTGTGAAAACCTGTGAAGAACAAAGATGAAACAGGTTTTTCCTCAGTCACTCTACCTTTTTGTTTGTTTGTTTTGTTTTGATTTGGTTTTGTTTGGTTTTTTAAGATTTGCTCATTTTGTTCTAAGTCTAAGTGTTTTGCCAGCATGTATGTCTGTGCCTACATGCATAGCAGATGCCCCAGGAAATCAGAAGAGGGCACTGGATCCCCTGGAACTGGAGTTAGGGATGGTCTGAGCTGCCTTGTAGGTGCTGGGAACGGGTCCTCTGGAAGAGCAGCACATACTGCTGAGTCATCTCTCCAGCCCTTCCACCTTATTTGTTGAGGCAAGGGCTGCCAGTGAACTTGGCTCACTGATTCAGGAAGCCTATCCACCTAGTGAGAGCCAGGTATCTTCCTGTCTTCAGCCAAAACTTCACCCTTGCACTCTTGGGGTTACAGACACGCTTGGCTAGTATGTGGGTTCTGGGGAACCAAACTTACCCAGCAAGTACTTTATCAAATGAATTGTCTCTCTAGCTCCTCTCTACCTTTTATGAACCCTCTGGAGCCTACACTCTGATGATTGATCAAAGATTCTTTGTATACCAAAGTCTGACACTAATACAAAACTTCAGTGTATAAACTCCTGTCAGAAGTGGACAGTGGTGGCACACGCCTTTAAGGCAGAGGCAGGTGGGTCTCTGAGTTTGAGGCCAGCCTGTTGTACAGACAGCCAGGACTACACAGAGAAACCCTGTCTCAAAAACCAAAATAGGTAGGTAGGTAGATAGACAGACAGACAGACAGCTAGATAGAACAAGCAAATAAGCTCCTGCGTGAGTAGGGTGCAGTGGTGCATGGCCTTAGGAAGCAGAGGCAAGCAGATTTGTGTATGTCCAAGGCCAGCCTGGTCTACACAGTGCATACCGGGCCTGCCAGAGCTACCCAGTGAGACCCTGTCTCAAACAAAACAGCAAAAACACTTCCTGCATCCATCTGAAGGAAAAACCATTTTCAAGCAATAGCACTAAGTCACAAGTACACCCACCAAGGAGGCCATCATTAGATTCTTATCAATGAATGAAAAGAAAGAGAGAGAGAATGGCTAATAATTTATGAAAGAAAAAGGAGAAGTGGAGAAAGGCACCAGGACAGGAGGAGAGAAGTCTGCTTTCGTCATGGTGACTAATTGCAGGCTCTCTATCCTTAAATAAATTGACTCGACCATTAGAGGGAAAAAAAAGTGCAGTTCTTTGTGGATTTTACTAAGGCTGAGGAGGTGAGCTGTGCAGGACAGGTGGCAGCTGTGTCCCAGCTAAAGTGCTTTGTCCCCTTCGCCTTATGCTGGAGTACTCCATTTCTTGCTCTGTGGCTGCAGCTCCAAGACTGCCTATAGACGCCACAGTTTATAGAATTTTCTGGTTTTAACATAAATTTTTCCTTTAAAATCCCACAGACATTATTCCATTTTCTTCTGTCATATGAGTTGCTAGAGAAATGTACCAGGCACTTCATTTTTTTTTTTTCTACTTCTGGCTTCCATCTAAAGCATCCGTACACATACATTATGTTATATATAATTTTACAACTTTTAAAGGAATTTGTTTTTAATTATGTGTGTATGTGTACATGTACCCACGTGTGTCACTGGTGCTCATAATGGAAATCCAGAGATTTCCTGGAACTGGAGTTACAGTTGCGAACAGCACAATATGTTGAGCTGGGTCCCCTGCAAGTGTTGTATGTATGTGCTCTTAACATCATTTTCATCTGGACATTCATGTTTTCTTTTGATTAAAGAAAATGTCTTTTTTCTTTTTCCCATTACCTTCTCAGGTATATTAGCTATTGATTTATAGATTTCTGGTGTAGGGGTCTGTGTTTGTAGTGTGTGTGTGTGTGTTCACTCATGTGGGTGTGCCTGTAGATGTGGTTATGTACATGCAAGTCAAGCATGTGATCAGAGTGGACAACCTCCATAGACCATCCTCAGGCACCCTCTACTTTTATGTTCTGTTTGAGACAGTCTCTCATTGGCCTGGAACTTTGCCACGTGGGCCAACTGCCCAGCGAGCTTACAGGGATCCCCCTATGAGTGAAATATCTCGACAGTGTCTTAATTTTTTATTATTTTCAATTTATAGTGGGTTTATTATAACCCCATTATAAGCGGAGGAATACGTGCAGCTGTTGATTAACTTGATTTTCTCTCTCTTTCTCTCCCCCCTCTCTCTTTTTCTCTTACGAGCTTTGACTCTGTTTTGTGAGCCTGTTGTTTGGTGCTTTCGGTTTTAAAACTTCTGTGTCTTCTTGATGAATTGACCCTTTTACCATTATGTATAATTCCTTGGTGTTACATGGTAAGGTCCTGCCTTCTCCTTCCCTGATTCCATTCTGTTAGGGAGCCAAAGAGCTGGATTCAATCTTTATTCTTTCAACCATGCCTCCTATTTGGGGTAAAATTCTAGAAGGAGAAATGATATAAGAGAAAATATTCTCGATACAGCACTTAGAAACTTAAAAAAAATGTATGTGTATGATTGTTTTGTCTGCATGTATGTAGATAAACCATCTGTATGGCTGGTGCCAGAGGAGTTCAGAAAAAGGTGTTAGACCACCTTGAATTGGTGTTCTAAGCCACCATGTGGGTGCTGGGCACTGAAACTGGGTCACCTCAAGAAGTGTTCTTAACAGCCGAGCCATTTTTCCAGCCCTTTAAACTTTGTTTTTAAAGATTTATTTACTGTTGGCGCTGCTTTTAAACTCCATTTTATTTACGTTTCTTAATGCCTCTTCTTCCCTTCTACAGCCCAATCCCTTCCAACATCCCAACATCAGGTAGGAGAGAAAGGTTAGTGGGGAGAGGGGGCAGGGGTCTCTTTAGCTACTTCCTGCTAGTTTGGGTCCTTGGGGCAAGTCCAATCTCTGTTTCAGGAGATCTCCAACTTCTTTTTGTCAAACTGCAACAACAGCAACCAGGAGCAGCAGGGGGTTACATAAGCCTTCTTTCTCAGAGCGCCCTTTCTCTCTGGCGTTTATTCCCTCTCCAGAGTCCTCAGAATTAAACCATCTGCAGCTGGCAAAGAACCCCTCTCAGAGCTGGCACCAGGCAAATAGTTTGCTGCTATGGACAATCTGAATCAGCCGCATATCCCACACCTGGAATCAAAACAAAAACATTTTCATATAACATAACTGAAATTTTAAAGACACTAAAACTTTCTACTACAATTCACTTATTTTTATCTCTCTAAATATGTGTCCGCGTGCTGGTGCCCACTGAAACCAGAGGGCAGTTCAATTTCTTAATCCTTAAACCATCTCCCCAGCTCTCGCCACTCTTTCCTCCCTCTTTGTTGCTCCATTAGATCAAGGGCATCTAAAATTAGAAATACACAATGCCGTAACAGCTAGTACGCTGTTCAAACGTGTCAGTTGAACTTAATTGATTCTAGAAGAAAAAAGAAATAACTGACTTTGGAAGCAGAGCCACTTTTGGTTTGTGAAACTCTAGACAAGTCATATCACCTTCTTGGGTCTCCATTTTTCTAAGAGTATAAACACTTAGTTGCGTCTTTGTGGGAGAAGCCCTATTTGGGTTAGTGGCAACTGTGGCCCCTGCCCCAGCTCTATTACAAGACAAGAACCGCCCCTCTGCGGCACGTGCGCTACTTCCTCCCGGCCGCACGATGGCGCTGAGCCTGCTGGGAAGGAGGGGGCGCTCAGGCTCCTGGGGACCCTGAGCGCGGCGGCAACTTTCCGGGCTGCCGCGGTGAGTGAGGGCTGCAGGAGATGGGGGTTTCCCGCCTGCCCTCCTTCTCAATCGAGGGTGGCAAGGGCGGCTGAATGTCGAGGGGCGTTTTCAGTGGGGTGCGCCCGAGAACTGCAAAGCCCGGGTAGCGCGAGGGGAGAACGAGGCGGGGCTGGGAGCTGGAGACACAGCCTGGCCCCGGACGTGACCGCCCTCGCCCGGCTCTCACGCGCCTCCCATCCTGCTCCACAGTGGTCAGGGATGCGAAAGTCTCCAAAGTCCTTGCCGTAGGGACACTTGGGGCTGTGGGCGGCCTCCGGGCCTATATTCTGATCCTAACCTTGTCCACCGCCCCTACAGGCTCTGCCATCTGTCACCCTGGCCCTTCTCTGCTTGGACGGTGTCTTCCTCTCCTCGGCCGAAAATGACTTTGTCCACCGGGTCCAGGAGGAGCTGGATCGCTTCCTGCTGCAGAAGCAGCTATCCAAGTACGGGGACCGAGGGACTTGCTTTAATGTTAGGAAGGACAGGGTTTGCCCCTCCCCCAGGTTCAGTGCCCAGGTAACTGGCTGGTCCACCGGCTAGGCCCTGCCTGACTTGAGCCTTTAGCCTCTGCCGCCTCGCCCAGCCACATCTTTCCTTTGTATCGGAGCGTCATCCCACTCAGGCAGAAGTAACTACCCTCCTCGGGATGATGGGAACTGGGAGCTCCCTCTGATCTACTTTGCAATTAAGCAGGGACTGGCCTGGGCACAATGAACCTGGTGTTGTTAAACCATTATAAACCGGGGAGTGGCCTCGGTGGGAATCAGGCCCAGAAACTGGATCCGCAGCCTCGGCGGCTTAATACTCCGTTTGGACCCTTTGCAGGGTCCTTCTTTTCCCGCCGGTCTCCAGCCGCTTGCGGTACCTGATCCACAGAACAGCAGAGAATTTTGATCTCTTGAGCAGCTTCTCTGTTGGGGAGGGCTGGAAAAGGAGGACGGTCGTCTGTCACCAGGACATCAGGTGTGTTATCCTACAGCTTTGGAGGCTTCTCAGCAGTTGGCTTTTTTTGTGATGATTGGGCTAACTGGCTAGTCAGGGGGTGGCCAGGAACCCTCCGTTGCCCTTTAATTTCATCAGGGACGCAGCTGACTTGGCTAAATCAGCTGTTCAAACTGGGCCAAGGGAAAGCGACTGCACACAAGCAGTTGGGCTGGTAAGGGTGGGTCTGCACCTCTCTGGTTTTTGTGAGCTTGCTCTCCAGAGAGGCCGTGATGCAGGGGAAGAACCTGCCAGCCAGTCGCCATCCCAATTTCCATGTTCATCTCACAGGATGGACATCATATTGTGACTGATCCTAATAATAGCCCCTAAATGCAAGTATTAGCCTGCTTTAGTGTGTAACCAAAGATTCGACCTCCATTGATTTGATTGTAGGGTTCATGAGGGAGTGGCCTGTGGCAGGGGTAGGACTTTGCCTTTGCCTCAATGCCCTTGTAAGAGATTTGGTGTGGTTTTTGTTTTTGTTTTTGTTTTTGTTTTTGTTTTTTTTGAGGGTCATTTTAGTTGTGACCTTTGCTTATGCTGACTTGAAAATGTCACACCTGAATGATAGGTGGCTCCAGAAAGCCATTTTGCTGTGGACCCAAACATGCCCTGAAGCTCCTGTTCCTGCTCCAGGGTACCCAGTTCAGACGGCCCCTCTGGTCCCTGCCGCCCTCCTGCCTCCCATCCCAGCAAGTACCGAGGTCCTCGGCACACCTCACATCAGGGAGCAGCTGCTGGTCCCCGAGGTGCTCCTGCGGGCCGATGGCATCGTGGACGTAAGCCGGACCAGCCTTTGTATGTGCCCCGGGTGCTACGCAGGGAGGATGAACCAGAGGCATCCTCCATCCCTGGCCTCAAGGGAGTGGACCCAGCCGGTGGAGTTTCTGAAGATCCTAGAGGGGCCGGTGCTGGGGACCCTGAGGCTGATCAGGAAGTTCCCATGTTGGTGACTCAGGGAACAGAGCTCTTGAAGAGCCCAGATCCAGGCTATGCAAATGACCCAGAGCTAGAGCTGGGTGGCACTGAGCCCTCTGAGAATCCTTCTAAGAAGGAGCAAGGGGCGGAGACAACCACACAGCAGGGGTCCAGCCCTCAGCTGGCCATGCAGGAGGAAAACAGGAGACATCTGGTGCAGAGCCTTTTGGATCACACGGAGGAAAAGGTAGAGGGAGAGGAGAAAGAGAAGGTGGATGAGGAAGAAGAGGATGTAGCCAAGCAGGAAGAGAAGGTAGATGATGTGGAAGAGAAGACTGATGCTCAGAAAGGCAAGGTGTATGAGGTGGAAGAGAAGGTGGATGGAGGTGAAGAAAAGGTGGATGGAGAAGAAGAGGACCAGAATGATGGTGCCAACCACGATGATTTCAGTGAGCTGCTACAGGAGGTGATGAGGCTCTTGAGCCCAGAAAAGGGAGGGTGGAGGTGAGGTGGGTGTGGCCTCAGTTATATAGGAGGAGGGCCTTAGGGGGAAGGTGAGGGCATGTGTGCTAATGGGATGTGCTCAGGAGTCGATTATGAAACCTGGAGAAAGATCGGTGTATTTGGGTCCCAGCCCATTTAGGAGATGGTTAGCCATAAGCAAGTCATTTGCTTTTTAAAGTCTGTTTCCTCATATATATTAAAAAAAAAAAAAAAAAAAAAAAAAGTACTGTACATTTCACAGGAGAGTGGAGACAGAGTCTACGCAGGTGTTCTTCTCCTTTGGAGAATATCATCCTCCTGCCTGGTCCTTTGCCTTAGACACTACATTTTCTTGGAACAGTGCACCTGCCCCTTAGGTTGACATTGGCGGGGTGCACATCTTTGCTGTTTTCTGTATAGTCTTTCAGAATATTACATTTCTAGTAAGGAAACTAAAGATACTGGCTTTGTCTAGCTCTTTTTTTCTCAGGACTATGCAATTTTGGGCAAACTACTTAACTCTTTGTCTCATCCACGTTTCCATCTGTAAAGAGGATTTATAGAGTGTGCTTTTCTTTCTTTTTTTTTTTTTTAAAGATTTATTTATTTTTATTTCTTATTTATATAGCATTCTGCCTGCATGTGTGCCTGCGCACCAGAAGAGGGCACCAGATTTCACTATAGATGGTTATGAGCCAACATGTGGTTGCTGGGAATTGAACTCGGGAAGAACAGTCAGTGTCCTTAACCTCTGAGCCATCTCTCCAGCCCCTTAGAGTGCACTTTTTGAGATTTAGGTGAAACACAGTGGGCGCAGTTGGCAGTCATCCAGCAGGGACTCCATAAAAGCAAATACTCTCCCCCAAAACATTTACATTCCGAGGAACCAAGCCATACCCAGATTCCTACCAAGCAGGCTTCTCCCCCAGTGCTGCCATTTTGGGGCCCTGTGTGGAAGAGCTCCCCTTGCCAAAGGGTCCGTTCACTCCCAGATCACAGCCAACCTGACTGAAAAGGAGATTGAAATAGAGAAGATCCACCTGGACACCTCCGCCTTCGCCGAAGAACTGCCCGGGGAGAGGGACTTGGCCCACGTGGTGGAGATCTACGACTTTAAGCCAGCACTCAAAACTGAGGACCTGCTGGCCACCTTCTCTGAGTTCCAGTGAGTCCTAACAGTTGTGGGGGAGGCTGGGAGAGGCTGGGATAGCCCTGCCCTGCTAAGGATGATTGCCTGCCCCAAAAAGAAAGGCTGAAGGTAGGTGTGATGTCTCGGCTGCTTGCTCTGGGGCTCTGACTGAAGGGAGGGAAGGGTTGTCGTTTCAGCACTGAGTTTCAAAAGCCTTAGACCTGGGCCAAGACCTGCACGTGCACACCCCTGCTGGGACCATTAGGCTTTCCATCAGTCTCAGGATACAGCTGTCCCTATGCCAGTGGGTCACTAGGTCTGCAGTAGCCTGAGGGCCATCCTGGTGTGATGGCTGCTTCTGGGGCACCTGGCTTGGGCAGGGCCAGTGTAGCCTGGAACGGTGCATTCAGGGGCAGGACTTCTTGACTTCCCCAAATGCCCATGGATTCAACCTTGTGCTGTGTCTCCTTTTTTCTTTCTAATTCTCATTTCTTCTTTTTTCTCTTTTTACCTGTGTGGGCTTTTTAAAGCCCCTTTCTGGGGCTGGAGAGGTGGCTCAGAGGTTAAGAGCACTTGCTGTTCTTGCAGAGGACCTGGGTTTGGGTCCCAGCACCCACACAGTGACTCAAAATCATTGGTAACTCCAGTTCTAGGAGATCTGTGGGTACCAGGCATACATGTGGTGCACATCGACACTTGCAGGAGGCAAAGCAGTCGTACACATAAAATAAATCTGATTACAGTAAAATCAAAGCCCCCTTCTTCCTGCCCCTCGTCTCTGACACTGCTTCCCAGACCACTCTCCCCTGCCTCTGCTCCTGCGCTGAAGGGTCAGCTGATGGGGTGGCACAGTTTACTTTCTCCAGCTCTCTGTCTAACTATGTGGCCACATGGGGCCACTGCTGACCCCTTGCCAAGTGAGCAGTGCCACTAGAGGAGCTGGGCCAGTCCAAAGCTGCTTCTCGGTTCTCCCAGGTACAGAGTCCACGCTGCCTTCCTGAGCAATAGGGAGGAAGCCAACCAGAGCCATGTCCCCAATACACTTGTTTGGGCCTATCTTCTCTCCTACTCTTAGCCTTCTTTAGCCTACTCAGAGTCAGTGCCCAGCGCAGCTGGCTATCGAAGTATCTGGGGTACATTTTTCACCCTTTAACACAAGTCTTTCAGCACTGGCTCCTTCTGTTCCAGAGGCTGACTCGCGACCCACCTCACATGTTTACAGGGTGACATTGGTCTCTCTGAAGCTGATCTAATGCTCTGGCAAGAAAGCATGCAAATGACAAAGCTTTGTCTTGAGGTTCAAGTCAGGAGGGACTTTGCCTGAAGGACCCATGACCCAGTGTGCAGGATCCAAGGGGGAAAGGTCTTGACCACTGGCTTTTGTGAGTGCCTGTGTTCTCTCCCCACACAGAGAGAAGGGATTCAAGATCCAGTGGGTAGATGACACCCACGCCATCGGTATCTTTCCCTGCCAGGCCTCAGGTAAGGATAATGGCTCCCTGTTGGGCTCCGCTTCTTCTCTGGCCTCCACTGGGAGGGGAGGTGCCTGGGTTCCCTGGATGGATGGCTCCTCATGTCCAGGTGTAGGCTACCTTGAGTCTGTGGGTTCAGCTCCCAGCCAGCCTGAACCACAGTCTGGATGCTGGGGCCTATAGCCTGGGAAAGTTAGGAAGTCTTTGGCCTCTCCTCCCTCAATACAGAGGCTTTAGGATTAGTGACAATTACTGAACAACAGGTGTCATGGGCCAAGCCATAGGTCCTTCTGCAGATTGAATGAAATTATCAGGCCTGTGGGTACAGGCCTCAGGCAGGTGCGTTTTCAGTTTTCACTTCAGCCTCATGTGTTGGCCCTCCGACAGAAGGTCAAGGCTCCCAGAATGCCAGAGTCTGTGTGGGACTGCAGACCTTACTGTGGAGGCCTGGGCACCATGCAGCCTCTCCACGGTGACTCCAGTACTCCTTGCCCCACTTTAGCCATTGTCCCATGCTAGTCCCTGCCATCTCACTGTCACTTTGGCTTACTTATAAATAGGACCCTCCCATCCTGAACCAAGTGTGCACATAGGGCCTTCTGTGCATCAGAGCTGGACACACCCTGCTTGGGTTGCCCTGGTCCTTGGAAAGCCTGAGTTGGGGGGTGCGGAGGAGCAGAGGCAGTGGTTAGGGAGGGGACCCTTGAAGGTTGGAAAAAAGGCCAAGCAGCCACTGAGGACCATGGAAGAATGAGCTCTCACTGGGGTAGCCATGGCTGCCTCCTGGGCCTGCCATAAACAGTATAGCAAGAGCAAGTCATGCCCTGGCCTCAGTTTCCTTATTCGTATAACACGCCTGCTGGGTCCTGATGTTGGGAGCACCTTGGCCCAGTGTGAGTGATGCAGGGAGTAGTGGTATCCGCTGGGGCTCTTGGGAGATAGAAGGAGAGTCTGGTTTAAGCCCTGGCTTTCACAGGCTGAGCCCGCCCATCTTGCTGTAAGAATCTGAACCCTGGGCTGGGGCGTTATCTGACAGCACAAGGTGGTAGTACCTCCTCCCCAGTGCTGTTCTGTAGGGATCTGGGGCACAAGGCGAGACTGTGAGCTTTACTGAGCTAGACCAGAGGCAGAGCAGCTGGGACCCAATGTATAAGAGCAGCTGTGGCAGTTTGGGGTGAGGCATATGCTCCAGCTTCCTAGGGGTGGGGTTTCACACAGCACAAGAATCATCCATTTCTTTCCTCCTTTCTCCAGCTGCTGAGGCCCTGGCCAAGGATTTCTCTGTGCTCAAGATCCGGCCGCTCACACAGGGAAGCAAGCAGTCCAAGCTCAGAGCCTTGCAGAGGCCAAGTAAGGCAAAGCCTGCCCTCTGCAGGGAGGCTGTGTACACGCTTAAGTGTTTGCTTTGTTTTCCCTTATTTCCCTGCTCTTCAAGAGCCAGGGCTACAGCAGCTAGTAGGGTGCCTGGAGAGGGCCTAGGATCAGCTACTGTCCGCGTTTGCCTTCTAGTTCACATTGCTCTAGGAAAAGCCCAGCCTTCCTTCTAGAGAGCCGTGAAGACTGAACTCTGTAACAGTAAAAAGTGCTTGGGCCTAGATCAGCCCTAATGGGACCTTGGTTCTGTTACCTCATATGCCCTCGAGTGAGTCATTTGTATGGGAGCTAGATGCCAAGTGTTAGCTCCTTCCCTGTCCTCTTGCAGGAAAACATGGTGGGGACTGAAAAGTCAGTCTTTATGATAGCAAAGATGGAAGCAGAAGAATGGGACCAGGGAAGGCCTGCCAGAGCCATCCATGCCACTGTGAATGGCAACATGATCTTGTCCTAGACTCCTTAGAAACAGTAAATATCCCGTCTTCATGTCCAGTGGTCCAAGTGTCCCATTCTGAGTGTTTCCTCCCAAAGGACCCCGAAGAACAAGGGAATGCTTAGGATATGAGTTCCTCCTCATCCCAGCTGCAGAAAAACCAGAGTGACAGGAGGGGTATTTTTGTGTCGGGTCCCACAGGGAGGTAGAAGTACAGTCCTCCTGGGGTCCCTCTCACAGGCACCTGGCTGCTGTGGGCACAACTGGGCCCCAGCCCCTGCTGCATACTATTAGACGTGGGCTCGCTCTCACCTGGCTTTCAAGGCTACTCTGTCACCCAGAGGAGAGGCAGCCCACGCCTTGAATCCAGGTCCCACCCATTGGGTCTTCCTTTCAGAGCTCCTGCAACTAGCGAAGGAGAGGCCACAGACAGATTCGGCAGTGGCCCGCAGGCTGGTGGCCCGTGCCTTAGGGCTCCAACACAACAGAAAGAAAGAACTGCCTGCTGCCCCAAGTCTGCCATCTTGAGGCCCCAGGCCCTGCTCCAGACTAGGCCGAGCTCTAACACCACACGCCTTTACAGACACCAAGACAGCTCCTTGACCTCACTAGAGCTGCTGTGGGGCACAGCAGGCTTTAGTTGATCTGGTCCCAGAAATTGAGAAGAAATAAAAAAAATTTACGGTTGTTATACTGTTGCTTCCAAGTGTGGTTTTGAGGACCCTAGAGGGCGCTGTCCCATCTCTTACTGTGGGTCTGTCATTACTGAGCACCAGGTCACCGTGCCTGGAGGATCCCATCTTGACTTTGGAGGCATTTGTGTCCAGGTGGCCCTGCTTGGGGAGTGGGTGGTACTAGCTCCATGCCACCTGTCCAGTCTCCATTTCAGGAACCCCAACCTGCCACCCTGTGCTGTGGGGCAGCGGTGGGTGTGGAAGTGTTTGAGTCTTCAAGGCGCCTTGCAAAAGTAAGCACAAACAAGGCTGAGAGGTGAGACCTGAGTGCAGGCTAAGTGTGCCCCTCCCAAACACGGCCAGAGGCATCCTCGGAGGGCGGGCCTGTGCTTTCCTTTCATGAGTCTCGGGGGCAGTAGTGGAGGTGCTGTGGCCCGCTCTAGGGTTTGGGAGTCATTGTTTGGATCTCAGGTTTACTGGGACCAGGCATACTCTTAACACAGGAGACCACAGGAAGGCCTGGAGCCCTGCTCTGCTAATGCACACCCTCTTCCTTGGGAAGTTGCCCTGTGACCAGCTGCCCTGCCTGGTGCTGACACGCTCCTGTGGCCTTACCCAAGCTTCAGTGAAGAACAACTGTTGAAGAAGGGCCACTTCTGACCTCTGCTGCTGTTCGGGTGGCTCAGATTGCTTCTTAGGGCTGCAGCTTGTACTGGTGAAGCCCTCCAGGTCCAAGGGGACTTTGGAAGACACAGGGACCATTCCTGCAAGTGTGAAACTAAATATCTATGACACTCCTAGATGAAGGGAGCTCTGGGCCCAGGGGCAGTGGTTCAGATGAAACCTGGGTATGTGTCTGGAGCATTTCACTCCAGCCTACAAGTATGTATGTGTGGTGAGTTAGGTGGATAGCACTGTTGAGTTGATAACTTACAACTGACGTCATCTCATCATGAGCCCACCGGGAGCCAGCTCACAGTGGACTGAACCATGAGGCCAAGTGAACACTTTGCTCGTTGCACATTGTTCTTATAAGATAGTTGTCACAACAAAACATTTGCACAATAGTTACGTAGGTATGGACAAAATATGGCATTATTCTTGAGGGTTGTGTGATAGCTAACTTTTTTTTTTTTCCAAGACAAGGTTTCTGTGTAGCCTTGGCTGTTCTGGAATTGCTTTGTAGGCCAGGCTGTTCTCTAACTTACAGAGAGCCACCTGCCCCTGCCTCCCCTCGTGCTGGGATTACAGGCATGTGCCACTGTGCCCTGAGATAGGTAACTTTTATCATCAGCTTGACTAGATATAGAATCCTGTGGGAGACACATTTCTAGGTGTGTCTGTTAAGGCATTTCCAGTTGAAATGTGGGAGCACCCTGAATATGGGAGCACCTTTCCATGGGTTGGAGTCCCAAACTGAACAGAAGGGAGAAAGTCACATAAGGGTTGGCATTCTCTTTTCCTCGTCTGCTGAGATTTGAGCAAGCAGCTCCCTGCTCCTTTTGCTGCAGCTCTCTCAAACCATGTGCCCAAGGCTGTGTGGCCACACCAACAAGAAGGGAAACATTGGAGCTGTCAGGGGTGGTGCAACTGGAGACAGCACACCACCATTGACAGCGGCCTGGAGTCCCCTTCCTTCCCCCTTAGGGACCTCTGGACCTTTGACTTTGCCACAGAGAAGAGATTCTAGGCAAGCCAGAATGAAGCAGGGTTAAAAGTTTATTTGAAATATTTTAAATATAAATTTAAGTTACAGGGGTTGAGAGGTGCTCAGGGAAAGAATAAGGCACACCTGAGAGCTGGGGTGTGGGCTTCCTAAGGACAGCTGTCCTTACGTGTCTGGTCAATAGCTGTACACAGGAGTTCGGAAGTCTTTGGTATTTGCTTGATGGGTTTCGAAGTCCTACCCCCAATCTCTTCCCCTTTTTGATAGTGAGATTATGGGGTGGCTCCCAAGGTGATAAGATGAAACCATGGGTCAGAAGGGTAGCCTAAGGATCTTGAGATATGGCTTTTCCTGTAAATGGGGTTTTGGGTGAAGTTCTAGGAAACTGTATGTTTACAGCTAGGAAAGGAGAGAGGCCATTTAAAAAGCCTTCAGCATGATTCCTTGCTATTTCAACGTGCTTACCTGAAGTATCTACATAAAAGGAATACTGTCTCTGTATTAGCACCATTGACAATGTTATCCGGGTTGGGATTCTCAGCTGGCAAAAGCTTCAACCAGACTCTGAGGTGAAGGGCCCCTTCCATGTCCCCTCCTGTCCTGTCTCAGAACCATCCAAATCTCCAGTCATCCCCTTGGAGTCTTGGAATGTATGGCTTTATTGTTCTTTAAATTGTGGTTATTGTTGCACGGAATACAGAAGTCAGTTTAAGAGATTGTTAAAGATAACCTTGATGGTCACCTAGGTGGGTTCTAGAACCACTATGGAAACAACACCTGTAGGTGGATTATGGGGGTGCTTCCAGAAGAGGTTTAATAGAAGGAAGGCACCCCCAACACAGCAGTAGCACCATTCCACGGGCTGGGGATGTAGGCTGACTACGAAGGTGAAAGCGAGTGGAGCACCAGCATTCATAATTCTGCCTCCTGATGGGATACAATATGACCAGCTGCCTCCTGCACCCGGCACCACACATTTCCCAGTATGGTAGGCTGCACTCTTGAACTGTAAGCCCACACTAACCTTCCCTTGAGTTGCTTTTGTCAAGTATATTGAGATAGTAATGAGAAAAGTTAACTAATACAGATTTGTACTTTGTTTTTGTCAAGTATGTTGTAATAGTAATGAGAACAATGAATGCAGATTTATACTGTGAGGGGGTGATAAGCATGGCTGTAGCATTCTCGAGCTTGGAACTTCGGGCCTGAAAAGCCCTAGAGTGCTGAGAACAGAGCTGAATGGGGTATTCTGGTGGGAGTTTGGAAGGCCCAGAATGCCTAGAGGAATGTGGACAGTGGAGGCCTGGTACCTGAGGTTTCAAGGGCTATCTAGAACTGAGCTAAAAGCCAATCACGTCACACCCTGGCCAGGATCCAGCTGCATCGTGCCTGGTTCTGAGCACTCGAGTGAGTCGTAACTCAAGAATGATGAACTAATTTGTTTGGTGGAGGACATTTTAAGACAGGAATGGCATTCAGGCTGTGGTACAGTTCCACTTCACTGCTCTTATTCAGGCCCAAGTAAAAATGAGTGAGCAAGTGGAGCAGAAAGATACGGAAAAAATGTGCAGTTTGGTAAAGAAAAGAACACGTACAAGTTTACAGCAGCCGAGAACAGTGAGAGCTGAGAAAGCAGCTGTTAACTGTTAAAGGGTGCGTTGCCTTACATGTGTGAAGTCCTGGGTTTGATCCCTAGCACTCTGGAGGTGGAAGCAGGAGGATCAGAAGTTCAAGGTCATCATCAGCTGTTTAGTGAGCCTGAAACCAGATGCTTCAATGCTCCTGCTGCAATGCCTTCTTTGCCACGCATGACGGGCTGGGTCTTCAAACCAAGAGCCCAAATAAAGCCTTCCTTCTTCAAGTTGATTTTGTCAAGAATTGTGTTTGTACAATGAGGAAAAAAAAAATACTTAGTACAGAGGTCTTGATATTCAAGTTTTCCAGAAATGACCTAAGAAGGGGGAAAATGGAATTTAGCTTGACCACCTCTGCAGTTGCTAAGTTCACACCTGCCACATCTCCAGAAGAAAATGGCCCATCTGTGCAGAGCGTGGTGATGTCACACTTAGGAGATGCCAAAGCTTGGATGGGGTAAGCTGCTCATGGCTTGCCCTCCAGTTCCCATAGCCGTGTGCCAGAACCCCTGCCCCTGAGGCCTCAGGGCAGGGACAGGCGGCAGCGCCTGCTGAATGAATGAACGAGCACCTTTCTTCTCAGATGGATATGGCTAGCAGGGAGGTGGCAATTGGTACCCCCCCATCTACCCCCAAGACACTAGAGTGTCTCAGTAGGTGACCATTAAGTCATTTTTCTTCTTTTTTTTCTTTTTCTTTCTCTCTCTCTCTTCATTTTGGAAACAGAAGCTTGGTTTAATTTCCAGAGTGGAAATCTGGTGGCAATCCTCCTGCCTCAGCCCAAGTGCAGGGATTACAGGCATGAGCCATCATGCCTGGCCCGGGGTCGTCTTTACTGCACAGAGAGCTGATTATTTAGAAGTCCACTGAAGTGTTCAAACTTTTGTTCTGTCTCCTCACTGAAGGCTCCACCTGGAAAGCAGGGGTCAAGGGCACAGAATTAAGTACACGCTCAGCTGTGTCCCCTCTGCGCACTCCCCCAAGCGAGTGCTGTGGCAGGCATTCAGCAGGTACCGTGCCAAACTCCAGAGGGTGTTTAAATAGACCCAGTGTCTTCAATTCTTACTGCCACCAGGGGTGAGGCCCATCATGATGCCGACAGGGACAAAAACTGCTCTCCTTGTCGCCCCAGGAATAAACCACTTTGTTAGAGATGAGGCAGGAGAGTGGTTTGCTCCACAGAGCTCAAGAACTGCTGATGCCCACATAGTTGTGGTCACATGAGCTCCAGCCGGTAGGGAGGCCTGGGGGTCTGCTCGTGCTAGGCCATCCAGTTCTGCAGCACCCTCTCCCCTTGGCAAGGGCTGGCTGGAACACCCGGTCCCCACTCAGGCCTTCATGCATCTCTGGCTTGCTTTCTGAGCTAGGAATTTGACGTGGGCTCCACTCCCAGCTTCTCCCAGATGAGCTTGCCTCTGGTTCCCGGAGAAAGTAGGGCAGCTGTGTCTTGTGTCCTAGCCTCTTAAGGAGGGAGGGGCTGCTGAAGAAACTTACCGACGTGACAGTTGTACATCCAGATGCGGTAGCCGTCGTAGCGGCTCCTGCACTTCATGATGTTGTTAGAGAAATCTGACTCTGGCACCTCGTAGTTAGGGTTAATGACAACCTGTAGGGAGTCAAGTCGGAGGATGCTGTGACTCTGTTGCTGGCCATCCTCCACTCCAGGGCTGGGTGTCCCTAACGGGATGGCTGGGTCTTCCCTAAGAGAGGCTGTGGGTCTGATGCTACATCCTGGCCTGGTAGGGGCCACTCTGGCAAGCCTGTGCCTAGCTCGCTAACCACAACCTTTTCAGGCCATGGGGCACTGTCCATCCAGACAAACAGTTAAATGTCCCTTCTCTGGGGTGGCCTGATTTTGCTTTGATCTCTCTTCTCCCCAAATCCCACTTGTCTCCGCAACCCCACCCATTTAACATGGGGTAAACAGCACCTCCCACGCTGAGGTCCAGGCAGCTCCCTGTCTATCCTAGCACATCAGATTACAACCTGGGCTCAAGGCAGGTCCTCAGGGTGGGTGTGGCCCACGCAGGGACAGGCGGGGGTAAACTGTATGACTGTCGCAGTCCTCCCCACACTCGAGTCCAAGATTCCAAAGCTTAGGAGCATAGGGGGAAGTGGATTGAAGTCTCTGTATCTGGAGGGGACAAAGCAAGGACCAGCAGACACCCATCCATTCCTGCCTCTGAGTCTGTGAACCCCCTGGCCACTCCCTCCTTTTGGGGTCCTCTTTAGTCCTTAGAGTCTGCCACAGGGGCTAGTTCTTGTGTCCTGTTGACTTTCAGTCCAGGGCATTCATAGCACTGGCATCCCCAGGTCCACCTGTCTGCTGATTGTACAGCTGAGGGGACAAGAACACCACACAGAGACTTGTGGCCTCCATTTGCCTGGCTGTGACATGAGGATACTGACATTGTCCCTTCACTGGGAAAGTCAATGGGTCAATGCACTGCCTGGGCAAAGGCCAGCCTGGGTTATCAGAGACCTTTAAGCACTTTCAGTGGTTATGATGATATGCGTTCACCTGCCCAGTGACAGCAGGCTGCCAACAAGAGCCACCAGGCACCACATACATGTCCACAGCCGTGGAAAGCCATTTGTTCAGTAAGAGAGCTCTGCTCCTGAGCCAGCTGTGGTTCTGGGCTTGGCTTGGGGCTGGAAAGCGCTTGACTGTCTGCTTTTCAGAGCTGATGGTGCCCAGGAGCCCTTTCAAAGCACCCCGTGGCTACTTCTCTGCAGGTGTCGGCTCTTCAGGAGGAGTGTCAAGCAGTAGGGACTGTGGGCTAGACTGTGGGCTGGCTGGATGCCCCACTGGGAATGCTTTCAAGGCAGAGCAACCCATTTCTGGTCACACGCTTTGCCATCCAACAGGGCAAGCGGGAAGCGCGATGTGTGGAGAAGAAGCCTCTGGAGGCAGGAATGCAGCCATGTGCCAGGAGGAAACTGGGATACAGTGTGTCTCTCTTGCCACATGGCCACCACTGTCTGCAGGGAGGTGGAAGCCAGGGCTCCCTGGCTCTTCCTCTGGCCAGGCCAGTTGGATGCCCTCACAAAACAGTCTCCTGGCCAGGTTGTCCTTAGTTTGACTTTCTAGTCTTACAGATGGATTTATGTGCATGGAGAATGGCCCTTTTGCAGACCGAGGAAAGAAAAATCACAAGGTCACAGGATGATGCAATTGCTTTCGGTGTCACTACAACAGATCAAAGCAAAACGAGGAAACTGAGGGAAGTCAGAATGGTGACTGACTGGGAAGCCAGAGATGTGGGTTGCTTCAGAGTCCATGGAATCAACTCCTGATTCAGTCTAAATCTGCTTACAGCTATGTTTTGATATCAAGCTCCTGAGGTTAACTGAATTATTTATAACTGTCTCTACATCTTGGGGTCTACCATGGGTTCCCATCATGCCCGGCAGACTCAGTATCCTCAGGTGCCTCAGACTCAGGTGCCTCTTGCACATTGCTTGACAGACAGGATGGCCTCTAAGTGTGGCACCCTGGAGGTCTCATGAATCTTGTTTCTGGGGACCCACAGGAAGGAGGCTAGATGAGATTGCTTCTCCTCCTCCAGCAGCCCTGAGTTCTGCCCACCTTACCTGGAACAGGTAGTCTCCAGGGGGCACATCGGTGATGTCTACCCACTGGCAGTCGATGTCATGGCGGTACATGTCCCAGCAGCCCATGGTGATGCCTTGCTCTCCGAAGTTGGCGCACTCGTAACTTTTCTGAATGTCTATGGGTGAGCAGAGAAGAGCATCGCCATGCAGCTACAGTCCCCGCCTCCTCTCTTCTAACCCCCAAGGCTCCCGCCTTGTTCTGTCCCATCCTTCCCACGTGGGTTTCCGATACCTTCTCATTTCAGCAGAACCCACTCACTCCATTCCCTATTGACGTGTCAATGTTCCCTCCAAGACTAGCTCAAGGTCCTCTCCTCCTTAAAGTGCTCCCTGACCAATCTGGACTGTGCTGGCATTCCTGTGAAGTCCTCAGCCTTGTGTAGGGATGAGTGTTGTGATGATCTGAGGCATCTCTAGTGTTTACCATTTAGCCTAACATGAGGTCGCCTCATCTTTCTTCTGTAACCAGAATCTTTCATTGGCAACCAGACACTGGGCTCGTACCTGATCTGTTCTCTTGGTACCTCATAGATTGTCTGCATACAGCGGGCATTCAAAACCTCTTTGCTGTGATTTCATGGGGCATGCCTCATGTGGGTGATAGGGAGGCGACAGATGTCTGTCCTGAAAGGGTCCTTGATGTGTCAGAGTGGCAAGTTAGGCAATCACAGTAAGGTGTGATGATGGCCTACCCAGGTAGAAGCAGAACGATAATGTGCGTGGAGTCAGGGAGAGAAGCTGGGAACATCACAGGGCTCTATAGCCTGATAGGGGAGAAGAAGTCAGTATTGGGACTTCCAGGAAGAACCGTCTGTGGCAGGCAGGCAGGGAGAGGCATGGGGGTCAGGCCCAGGTGATCAGACCCCACCTGGAAAGCAGCCCTCTCTCTGCCAGTGAGAACCGCTCTGGGGGACAGATCACTTTAGAACCACTTTTCCCAGCTCCAATCTGTAGCCAAAGAAGGCTTCAAGAGTTAGGGGAGGGAGGCCACATGGACATCAGGCAGTGGCCAGAATAACATAGAGAGATGCCTGGCCCCCATCCAGATGGACTTTGCTCAATGCCGGAGTGTTCAGAGGTCTGTGAAGCCCCAACCCTCCCCTTCAAACATACCAACATACCTCCCTCACACTCCGTGTCCTCCAGGCAGAAGCTGGCCTTGTGGCCCTCAGCCACCTTGGTGCCATTGAGGCTGAGCAGGTCATAGTAAGTGAATACTTCCATGCTGTGGTAGTGCCTGGAAACCGGAAACAGGGCCCAACATCAGTGTCTGGAACCACGGCTGCCTGTAAGCAGCTTGCTGGCTGGTGGTTTGCCTCTGGGAGACCCTCAAGGCAACAGGGGCCGAGGATGGCAGCGAGAGGAATGAAGAAGAAAATGAGAGAAGGGAAGGCCAAAGCAAAGATAGGAACATCGATCCGCTCGCTCATCAGGAGTCAGAACGATGTAACTTAATTCAAGGAGTGTTGTGGTGAGAGTGAGTCTGGCATTCCATCAGCCCAACACTGGCTCTCAGCCCACTCCCACATGGAATCTTTCTCCAGATTTGCTGTAGGTCTGACAAGTGCCTGTGTATTAAAAGCTTCTTTTCTGGGGGTTGGGGGGGTGATATTGGGACGCTATGGACTATTTGAAGGAGAGTCTTAGGTGACTGGGAACATAGCCTCTTCCTTTCTTTCTCTGTTTCCTGGCCTCAGGTGTGCTTGTCCTTACGCGTGCTCCCACACAGATGTGCTGCCAGCTGTTGTCCATGGACACCGTGGCTTTGAACCTTCCCGCCGTTAAGCTAAACAAACCTTTCCTCAGTTATAATTTTTTTTTTTTTTTACCAGCACAAAACTATTATAACAGGCTAATTTTTAAGATCACATTTTTAAAAATACGGGTATAAAAAGAAGGAAGGAAAAGGGAGAGGGATGGGGTAGCTACCACAGGGAAACAAGAGTCACTAAAAAATAGGGTGTGTGCTCAGAGAAGGGTACACATGTACCCTAGCGATGTGTGCACTCTGGACTTGGGAGAGGAGGCCTGGGCTTGGCCTGAGAGCCCCGGGAAGGGAGCAGCCAACCCATGCTCCTCAAATTGAGCAAATGGAACAGAAAAGGGAAGGATAAGGACTAGAAGGTTTCTGGGATGGAGACTGTGTGGTTCTCCGAAGCAGCTCAGGATAGATAGCACATCTCTGGGGTTCCTTGCGGAAGGGAGCTAGCTGAGGCGGCACTTGTACAAGGCGGGTGCAGTTCCCTTGCTGACTGTTTGTTTACCATGGTCCCTGCCGTCACTTGAGAGAAACTGAGGACAGATGTCTCGAAGAGTGACACATCTGGTTCAGGAATAACCAGGGAACAGTGCTACTGAAGGGAGCTGAGGGGTTTCCAGAATTCTCCATTTTACCCAGGACAAACAATATGAGGCTGGCTTTAGCCTCATCTCTACCTGCCGTGTGTGTGTGTGTGTGTGTGTGTGTGTGTGTGTGTGTGTGTGTTTATGTGTGTCATACGTGAAACTATTCTAACACACTTATCTTCACCCATTGCAGGGACGTTTATTAACGGAAGTCTCTTAGGACCAAGGCGCTGTGGGGGCAGAAGCTCTGGCTTTATTTATGCCTAGCCTGTTTCCTTGTTGGTAAAGCAAGATCATTGCCAACTTCTGGGGTGACCAAATGAGATAAATGACAGAGATCTGGCCATGAAGCTCAGTTGCTAAAATGTTTGCCTACCATGCAGGAAGCCTTTGGTTCGATCCCAGTACCACGTAAACCAGGCATGGTGGCTTGTGAACTTAACACTGGGGAGGTGAAAGCAAGAGGATCAGAAGTTCATGGTCATCCCCAGTTGCATAAGTGAGTTTGAGGCCAACCCAGGTACACGAGACCCTGTGCAGAAAAATAAATAAAAGGCCAGAGACATAAAAGAGCCCAAATGAGGCTGCAGCAAAGAACGTTCTCTCTCATTCTCAGTTTTGGGCATTGGAAGATGGCTCCCCCCATCTACAGTCATTGCTACAGTATTCAAGGCTCCTAGGGTCCTGTTACCCAGCCTGACTATTGGCGTATTAGTCTGGAGATTCCTCTACCATGTGTGGAGAAAAGAAGAGGGCGATGGAAAGGGTTTCCAGAGAGGAAACTAGAAGCTCTTTTCTACCTCCTGTGTTTGTCTGTGCTATATAAATAACGTCAGAAATTGCTAAGTTGGGCTTCCCCAGGTCATTCATATTTCTGGGTAAAATGGTACTGAGCCAGGGCCAGTGGACAACCCTTACAAGGAGCATTTTGTAGCAGATGAAATGATGACTTTGAGGGAGTCTATTTTGGCTCCCTGCAGGGAGCGGATGAGACATGAGGTCTGACTCACGGAATGAAAAGTGTCTGCTTCCTCAGAGAGGGGCTTATGTGACTTGCCGAGCGGCTGGAAAGATTGCAGGGAAATACGTTTATGTTCCGTTGTCTAAACAGAATTCAGATGGAGCCACAGACGGCCTGTTGTGAAGCAGCCTCCTGCAGCCAGACCTCCTTCAGTCTGGATTTTAATCTTCTCCAGTTTCAGTTTTCCTCCTGGGAATTGGTACTGGGAGGAAACCATAGGCTTCGTGGCCCCTGCTTTTTGCTGACCTGGAAGAGTCCTGGAGTGTGTCTGTTTTATCTCTCAGACACCCTTAGAGGCCACATGTCCCTCCTAGCTGGTCTGAGGTAGAAATGGGAGCCATCTAATCTCCCACAGGCTTCCACGCAGGAGACACTGATGGGTGCTGGGAAGGCAAGAGGGAAAAAAAAAAGTCTGGCATCACAGTGGCGCCCTTATCAGCCCAGAGTCTAAGGATAGCCTGAGCTCTGAGTGGGCATTCAAAATTGCAGGCTTGGGAAGATATCTCAGAATACTAAAAAGAAGAGTGTGGCCTGGTGCTTGATAGAATTCTTTTATTTGCTTGTTTGACTTTGCCACCTGTGCTGCTAGGAACACAGTACTCTGCCACCAGCTATCTCACCAGCCCTTGTTTTCCTTGAGACAGAGACAGACTAATTCAAGTTGGCCTTGAACTCATTATGTGGCCCCAAATTCATTACCCTGACTACTGAATGCTGGAATTACAGGCATGGACTCCCATGTACAACTTTTGAAGTCCTGGTAATCTAGATAAAATGAAAGTTGGCCTTTACTGTTTGGGACTCCAGGGCTCTGTGTCCTGAGACCCGACACTTCTTTGGAAATATGTTATGCTGGATGAAAATGTAGATGGGAGGCAGACATAGCACGTTCAGGGGAAACTGTACATGTTTTGATACACTGTACACTATAAACCAGTCCTAGCAGGGACTGCCATAAGAGAGAAGGGTCCTTCTTTGGGATCTCGCTTGCCATTGACATGTGTCAGGTCGACTCAGTGGCGAGATGAGTGGCCTCTAACTGGTTCAGACGCCTCATCGAGCCTGTGGATTCTGACCCTGCAATGGGGCGACTAGGTGGACCTGGGATACAGCTGACCGCATCGAGGGCTCTGGGGTCAACCAAGGGCACAATCAGTACATCTAAGAGGACATTACTGATGCCATTCCTCTGTGTCCAGATAGCGTAAAACTTCAAAAGCACTAATCTTTGCGTTTTAGCTTAATGTCTTCAGGAGCATAGCTCTGCTCCTTAATGTAGCATTAATTAAGATTTGAGTGGCAATTTCCCCGTTCGCTCACATCTGAGCCAGGGCTTTCCTGCTTGGGTCCACTCATGGCTTCAGAATGTCTATAGACCTGCCAGAATGGAATATTAATTCTTTCAGAAACAAGTTTCTTGAGTTGAGGAAGGGTCAGGCCAGCTCTCAGGAGCCTCAGCAAGAGACCCAACAGAGCTAAAGTCAGCTTCCCTGGAAGGTCTTCCCTGGAGAGTACTAGGCAGAGTATTTCATGTCTGAAACTCCAGAACTTTGGGACTGGGGGCAGGAGGATTAGTTCACAGACAGCTTAGGCTAGATAGGGAATCCAGAGTCAGCACAGTCCCAGGAAATGCAACAAAAACAAAACCAGTGAGCCTACAGAAGCCACCTGGAGCTCTGTAGCCTCTCTGTCTCTCTGTCTCTCTGTCTCTCTGTCTCTCTCTCTCTCTCTCTCTCTCTCTGTGTGTGTGTGTGTTTGTTTGTTTGTGTGATTTGGGTCTCATGATGTTCCTTGGATCTTCCTGTCATAATATATATATTATGTGAATGTGCTTACACTGTCTGACTCTCATCAAGACTGTAGCATGCTATATTATTTAATAAGATATGAGGCCAGTCCCTGGGCACAAGGACAGAAGAGGGACTATATCAAGGTCACTGACCAAAAGCACAATACATCTGAGGGAGCAGCCTTGGGGGTGTTCCCCCCTATGTCCAATTGGCAAGAAACCAGGGATGCCTGAAGGGACATATGCTTAGCCCATGTTCTTCTCCACCCCCTCTCCCAAACCATTGATGGGAACATTTTGTGGTCAAAGGAAAAAAGAGACCAGTTTGAGGGGCCCGGGGAGGAGGTGTCAGAATCCCTGGGGTTCCAGATCACAACGCTGCCATGATGTCACCGTAAGACTATTCTTAGAGCAGACATGGATGGCTCTGAGGGTAAGCATATGGCACTTGGAGGCTTCTACCGTGTAATCTTGGGTGGGCCACCATATGCAAGGCTGGGATGTAATTACCTTCCACTTATAGACCCATAGGCAGCATCAGCCCCCTCCTGTCCTGGCTTCCCACCACATGGTGTCTAAGAGAGACCAGGCACTGAGACTGTCAGGACTTTAATTGTACTCCGCTTTATACCTTGGCGAAGACAAAGTGGGCCTTGGGCCTTCGGGTATTTGCAACAGCCAGTCATTTCAAAGGAAAACCAGAAGCTTAAATGGGATCAAAGTATTTTGTTTTGTTATTTTGGGATAGGCTGTACAACTCTACCCTCAGACTGATTTAAATGTGAGTGGATCATAATTTTAACATGAAAAAGAAAGAAAACCTTTGGAGGCGTCTGGTGAAAGTCTGGAAGAGCTAACAGGAGAAGCAGCACGCGTTAGAGCAGATGGGCCAGGCTGAGACCTCTGAACTGTAACTTCTTATGTTGTCTTGGGCAGTTTTATCGAGTTCAGTGACCTGGTACCTGGAATGGCCACATGTGACTGCATCTGCCTCTGATGTCATTGCTGCACTAGAGCTGGATGGAAGCCTAAATGGAACATCCCGGGCTCTCATGTGAACGCAGACCTGTGGGGGTCCTACTGAAACCCAGACGGGTTCATCTGCAGCCAGGGCTGGCACTCCGTATGCCCAAGATCTCGTGGTGACGGTAGACATACCAGCCCGAGGGCCTCACTTTGAAAGGCTGGGATCTACTGCAAACATTTCCGGTCACGGATGGAATATTTGAGCCCAGAGAACAGAATCTACTGAAAGTTTGTGGACCTCTAGAAGGGGGATTCCTGGCAGAAGGAATGGCAGCCTCTTTTCCGACAGTGTGCACGCAGTGTCCTCTACCTGCCGAGACTGAGAAAGAGAGGTGTGCGAGCAGTGGCAGCAGGGTCTGAATTCGATTGCAAGTCAAGAGGAGCAAAGGGAAAATAGGAGGGGAGGAGATCCAAGTAGCTTCCACAGGCCCTGGTGGGACTGGCTGGAGGCTTTCCCTCTGTTCTCCTTTCCTGGTCCAGTCTTTGTAGCACCTGGATCACAGCCAGAGATGAGCTGGAAGGATGCCCAGAAGTCCCGGTCAATGTGGCCCACTTGGCCTAATGTCAGGCCACTAGCAGGCCTATATTAGCTGGTCTCTGACTCTGAGTCCTGGGGCTCCTAGCTCCATAACTCCTGTCTTCCTACAGATACTAAAAATACTGAGTAAGGAGGACCAGGGGAGAAAGGAGGAGATTTGAAATGGCGCTGGAGAAGAGGAATCATTAAAAATACGACCATGTGAATGCAAATGCCATAACGGAACCCATTACTTTGTAAGCTAACTTTGAGTTTTTAATTGAAAAAAGAGATCTCATCGTATTTCTATATGGACTCGGGGCCCAAGGCTGCAGACCCGAAAGTTCCCAGTAGGACACAAACGTATTGTGCATGCACTTGGAAGCTGCTGACTGAAGGTCCCCGGAGGGCACTGGCGCTCAGATCAGCATGTCTCCTAGGGTCAAAAACACTGGAGCCTAGAGGCAGGGATTTAGCAGAAAAAAGGGGACCGGCAGTGAGCTGGGAGTGGAGAATGGCTTCCAGAGGTGCAGATTACTTTTCTGCTTAGATCATGGCTCAAAACCAACTTGAGCTGACTCTAGACTCCTGGTCTGGGTGCTGAGGTACCTCAGGCTGGATATCTGACTGACCAAAGGGGGTATGCATGGCCTACCTGTGGCAGTCATGCCAAATCCACGCGTGGCGGCCATTCTTGGGGCGGAAATCAGACTGGCCATTGTTGTGGATCTGGGAGGAGAACCGCAGAAGGCGACGGTAGCCTGTGGTGGGGTTGGTGTGGACTGCGGAGGCCGAGAGGCAGTTCTCCTCCATGGCACACTGCAGCAGGGCCATGGGCCTGTCCTCCAGGTAGGCTGTCTGTTGTACAATCTCGGCATTAAGCACCAGGTCAGGGGCAGCTGGGGAAGATAGATGTGGGTCACAGACAGGAAACCCCTTCGGAGGGTACCCCTGAGAAAAGTGCCATCCTTCTATATGTTCTTCAGGAGCTGGCCTAGGGCTCCTCCATGTTACCTTCCTGTCACCCCCAGTTATACTTTCTTCATTTCCCAGAAGTCTTCTGAACACTCCCCTTCAGTTACCAGTATGGTGGGCAAAATGCTGGCACATATATGGGCGTTGAACACCGGAGGGGTCCTTAGGTCATTCTCTGGCTTTTCAAGCCCCTCAGACTTTCCATAATGAAAAGCAGAAAAACAACAAATGGACGAAGACTCTGCACACCCTTGGTGTGAGTCTATCTCTTCCTGTGTGCCTGTGGATTTATGGTCTGCCAATGCCATCCCCCTTAAAACACACCTTTCCTGTTGATATCTCAACATCGCAACATTTGTTTTATGGTTCTGTGACATTTAATTCACCACCCGCTTCTATCTTTTAGGGTTGCTACACCGTGGATGCTTGGAATTTTTCAATTAAAGACAGGTCTATGATCAATATTCTATAGTCAGTCTGTACCTAAATTGTGTGTGTGTGTGTGTGTGTGTGTGTGTGTATGTGTGTGTGTGTGTGTGTTTTCTTTAGAATGTATCTCTAGCAGAGATGAAGGTCTGACAGAGAAATTCCCAGGAGAAAGAGCTGCATGAGTTCAAGACTCCTATTTCCTTTCATCACCGCATAGCATGGCGCTTGTGTGGAAAGGAGGCTGTCCAGGCTGTCGTGGGGAGGGAAAGCCTCTTTGAACAATTCACAGCAATATCCTAGGCCCAGCGTTATGAGCTGTGGGTGGAGATCTCCATCTAAAGCTGTGTAAGTGAATATGGGAAGGGGGTTAAAATTTTTTGGAACAATAAAAGATTTCTGGATATACAATGGCTGGAAATTAATTTTAAAAATCAGATGCACAAAGAGGCTGAGGCATTTCTAGCAGTGCCTGGCTGTGTTGCCCTGTGTGACTTCACCACAGCCTTGGTTCTCAAGACACGGCATTGTAGACGTCACATATGCAGAACCAGTGCACACTGCCTGAAACGCCTCGGCTTATTTTCAGGATTTCCATATGTTATGAGTTACGGTGCTTTTACTGTACGCAAGAGTTTTCTGTTGTTGTAGAAACATGGTTGAATTCTAGGAAATAAAGGCTTTTAATATTTTTTTCTCCCACCATTCTTTTGTAAGTAAACGTCACATCATCATATCTTTACTTGTGTTGTGCTAGGAACGTTCCATTTCAAAAAGTGTTGCTTGAGATGCTGGCTTGAATTTCATTTTTAAAAATGCTAAAAGAACCTTGGTTTGGGATTAGGACTGATTTCCAATCACCTTTGAGATGACCCTAAACATACTTCTGTTTTTTTGTGTATTTATGCAAATAGTGTTCTTAGCATCAACAATTATAATATCAAGGTGCTAATCAACTCTCATTCATCAAGGTTTATTTCTTTACCCAAAAATAAAAAGTATACCCATCTGATTAGTATCTGTGCTTGCTAGTTTTTATATTAAACTAGTTATTTTGGAAGCGGGAATGTCCACCAAATTGGCCTGTGGGTAAGCCTGTGACAGGTGCATTTTCTTGACTGATAATTGATGTGGGGGGGCAGGTTCATTGTGAGTGGTGTCCTCCCTGGGCTGGTGGTCCTGGGTTCTATAAGAAAGCAGGTTGGGCAAGGCATGAGGAGCAAGCCAGTAAGCAGCACCCCTCCATGGCCTCTGCTTTATTTCTTGCCTCTAGGTCCCTGCCCTGAGTTTCTGGTCTGGTTTCCTTTTCTCGGTGATGGATGGAAACTTTTAAGTGAAATAAACCCTTTCCTTCCCAAATTGCTTTTGGTCACAGTAATAGAAACCCTAACTATGCAAACTTGACTTTATCCTTTATAAATCGTAACGTTATACTCATACAAAAGAACTGTTGTAAAATAAATGCGTGACTCATAATCAGCAAATGTTTGATTTGTGTGCCGGTTTTGTAGACGCCTGTAGTTAAAGTCATGTGGAAATGTCTCAGGGGTCTCGAGGTGGAAAGGTTTAAGAATACTGGTCCTCTAGGACTGATTTCCAACAGAGGCAGAAATCCAGTTTTCTGGTTGGTTTTAATTATCAGCTTGACAGAACCTAGAATCACCTGAGAAGGGAGTCTCAGCTGAGGGATTCCCTAGGTCAGATTGGCCAATGAGCGTGTCTGTTAGGTATTATCTATTGTTAATTGGTCCAGCCCATGATAGGCAGTACCATTCTCTGGGTAGGGCTGTATGAGAGTAGAAAGGGTTGGCAGAAAGCAGGTAAGCAAGGCAGCATGCGTACATTTGTCTCTTTCTGCTCTTGACCATGGATGTGACACTTTAAGTTCCTGCCTTGATTTCCAGTGTATATACTGGAATTAGGAGCCAAATAAACACTTTTATTCAGTGTTACTTTTCATCAGGATATTAATCCCAGTCACAGGAAGGAAACTAGAGCACAGGTGAATGTCTCAAGAGAGCATGGTCTGGAGTTTCGCTTCCCCAATTTCACAGAGAAAAAATTTAAAACTAATTTCCCCAGGGAAGACTTTCTTGGCCATGCACATGGGAACATTTCCAGCTTAATTCCCAGCTAGCCCTATACTCCTCCTGCAAGTTCTTGAGAGCCTAGCATAGTGTCCACAGCAGTACTGGTGACCTTGCCCCCCATCTCTGCGTCTCAGTGAACCCCAAGCTCACTGCCATTTACTGGAGCTGGCAGCCTCTGTTGAGAAAATCCACTTGACTTAATAAGGTGTGCAACATAGGGTAGGTAAGGAGGGCAGCCAGGTGGTTGTGGGCAGCGAGGGGAAGACATCCATCAGGAGACTTGATCAGCTGGCAAATACTTCCCTGCAAAGGCATGACAGGTGTGACAGTGCTCAGTGCCCAAACTGTCCCAGCACTGCGCTGTGACTCTTCCGAGATGTTGATTCCCTCGTGAGCACTGAGGACCTGGTTTCCTAGCTGCTCTGAGATGAACTGAGCAAGGAGTTGTCCATCATGGTTTTTTCCTTCTGGGGGAAAGGTTAGCTTCCCTTCAACTCAGGATAGGTAACTACACATAGTTTACACTCAGCTTGGTAGCCTAGAGGGAAACTAGGCAGACATGGAGCTGCCAAATATTCTAGTAACAGATATGGATGTCTTGGGTTCAAGTGCAATAGGAATGATGGAAACGGAGCAGGAGAGTGGAAGTGGAGACAGCATTAGCCTAGCTTGGGGGAAGAAAGATCAAATACCCATGTGGCCCTCATCCCAAATGAGAGTTTGCGTAATCCATACAGTATAGAAGTAAGGTGGACAAGAGGACACATACTATAATGGTGATGTAAGAGGAAATGCAGCTGAGAACGTGCTGAAAGGTAAAGATGAAGACGGACTAATGGCCTGTGTAGGGCAGTGCGAGCCCACTACCTAGTATTCAAATATGTGAGTCTGTGAGGGCCATTCTTATTCAAACCACCATAGGTGGGAATACTTAACCCTAAACACAGGAGGCCTCATTCCATGGGCAAGAGCCCCTGACTGCATGGAGAAGGGAACTCTAGCATTCATCTCTCCGTGTTTTCTGCTTGTGGCTATAACGTGATCAGCTGCCTCCTACTCCTCCCCCACCCCCATTGTATCCTCAAATTATTAGCCAAAATAAACCGTTCCTTAAGTTGCTTCAGTCGGGCATTTGGTACTAAAACTGAGAAAAGTAACTGATACACATTCTTAAAGCTAACGCTTGCCTGTTTCCTCTTTACCATGTCATCAGCCAGGTCTGTGGTTAGGGAGTAGGTATTGTTTGATCCAGCATACACCGTGATGCCCCAGAGCCTTGGGAAGAGTAACTGATGGTTCCCTGGGCTCCCCTAGAACCAGACCAGGCGGGAGGAGTGAGAGAGTGAGCTGTTAGAAATTCTTACTTTCTGAGCAGGCGACTCCAGCACCAAACCGCACCCCACCCTCGGGGCAGGCCACCTCCTCATCATGGCGGCAGTGTGCCAGGGAGAGCTCCGTTCCTGAGCACTTCACTCCACTCATGACCACTTTGTTAGCAAAGATATTTCCATGCCAGTACCAGGTTTCCTGGAGAAATCAACGACAACAACAAGTCACTCGAAGGTCACCTTGTCAACTTCTGGCTTCGCAAAACCCAAGGCTTTATGGCTCCATTTTCCAGACGGAGACTGCAGAGGACAGGGAGCCATTTATCCCAGCTATGTGATCAGCTGGCTACGGAATGAGTTAGCTTCTATGACTAATCCTGGGTTTGCAGGAGAGGAGAAACCCATTCACATGCGCCAAAAATTAGCCATCTTATCCAATTCAACTTCTGGATTTAATTCTAGAAAAAGCACTTTATTGAATACTGACCAGAGCCCGTAAGCTTATGATGCTGAGATTTACTGGGCCCCTGCTCGCTAGCTACAGAACTTCAAAACACTGTTAGCATAAACTCACACACTTCAAGAAGTTTCCAGTAGAGAAAACAGAGAAGTGTGTGTGTGTATGGGGGAGGGGGGAGTCAGGTAAATGAGCATGCAAGGAAACATAAGCTCCTGTGCTTCTGAAGTCTCCAAGGTTTATTTATGTGTCAACTTGGCTCAGTGACAATACCCGGATATTTGTTTAAACACTATTCTAGATATTTCTGTGAAGTAGCTTTTTAAAAGTAATAGTAATATTTAAATTAATTGATTGGAGTCAGACAGATTGTATTTCATCATGGAGGATGGGCCTCATCCAGCCATCCAGTTGAAAACCTTAGAAGGAAAAAAACCAAGGTTCGTTTGTGAACAAGGATGCTACCTGCAGAATGCCTTTGGACTTGATCCACAACTTGACTTGTTCTTTGGGTCCTCAGCCCTGTGCAATTTAGGCTTGTAAGCCTCCCAAATACTGGGAGCTGATTCTCTCACATAAAGCTCTGTCTGCTGACTGATGGGTAGTTTTAGATAGAGTATAGAGATAGGGAGTTTTCCCTCTCTCATTGAGTTTTCTATAGCCATTAATTCACAGCCTTGGATGGAAAAATGAAAAAAAATATTTTAAACCATAAGCATAGCATTTACACTATATTAGAGATGACAAGCCATCTAAAGATGAGGAAGTTCAGGGGAGGGCATATATAGATTCTAAAGGAACACTGCACCCTAACGCCAGAGGACTGGAGCATCGCAGAGATTGGTATCTGAGGGGGTCCTGTACTAATGCCCCAGGGATACTGAGTGATGACTGTATCTATCCTGTTGGTTCTGTCTTCCAAAATCCTTCTAATTCTTCACAGGAAAAACTCAGTGTCCTGAACAGAGATAGGACTTGTCTTAGGTGGCTGTTTAAGACCCTAAGCTGAGGACCAGGTGTCTTGGAAATGAACTGTCACAGAAGAAAATCAGCCAACCGGCAGATTTGGTACATGGATAATCAGTGTGCGTGTGCATGTGTGTGTGCACAGTGGAGGCTGGGGGGAGGCTAAGCTCCCAGATGTTAGGAGCCACATCTCTCCTGCATATGAGAATGGTGAGCTGCAGACAGAGAACACAAGCATTCCTGGCTCAGGACTCAGCCATGTCAGTTCATGGGCGACTAACAAGCTCAGCAAGGATGCTAATCTCCTTCCTCTGGGACCAGGGAATAAAGTCAGGTTAGCAGACAAGATGGACCACAAAGTCTTGCCCTGCTTCATGAAAATGCTCAGAGCCGGAGCACTGAGGGTTATGGATCCTTCGTTCCATGGGGCACAGAGGAGTTGGTACTTTGCCTCAGACCATCATGCAGGAATGGAATTGAGTAGAACTAGGGCATCTAGTCCTGAGCTGCCTATGACTGGGGACTGAGAAGCAGAAATGAAGACCAGAGTGAGCTTTCAGGCTCTCTTGAGTCTTAGGTCATTAGAATGGCTCTGGGAAAAAGGTGCGCAGCCAATGTGACAAGGTTTTAGGACACAACCTGGAGATTTGCTAGCATCTCAGTAAAAAAAAAAAAGAAAGAGTCAGAGATACCAAGCCTCATAGCAAAGAGGGCTGCAAAGAAGCAAACTAAGATATTCGGAGTGTTGACCCTGGGCTGGGTACTCCCCCAAAATTGCTTCCCTCTACAGACACTGTACAGGACACTTCAGGCTCAGCCCTCGGCCCGGGGAGAACCCCCCCCCCCCCATGCAGACTGGAATGGTCCACAGACAGCAGTAAGTGGCCCAGAGGTGTCCAACCTGCAGTCAGTGAGCCACATGAGATCTCAAGGAGGCCAGCATGGCCACAGACGCCGCTTAACAAAAACAAATTCACAAACTTCCTTAAAGCATTATGAGTTTTCTCTGTCTCGTTTTTTGCAACCAAAAAAAAAAAAAACAAAAAAACAAAAAAACAAAACACACACACACACACACACACAAATAAACAACAACAACAAAAAAACCCCAGTTGTGGACTCTGTAGATGACAACATTGTGTCACAATGTCAGACTGCTGGACACACCTGGAGCCCCTTCTTCTGTAGCTGGAAACTGAACTTGGGCTAGGACTTACTCCAGGCCGTGGGGGTGTCAGGGAGGGAGCGATGTCTACAATGAGTTGGCTAGAATGATGGCCCAGGGTTTGCTTGATCGTGTCCCGTCTTAATGGCTGGGGAAAGCTAGTTGAAGAGAAGAGCTGTCTGATAATGGGAGAAGGCCAGGCTGGATGGAGGGTGGGCGAGGCTGTGAGGGTAGGACCACTTACCTGGAAGGCATTGCTGGCAAAGCCCAGGCCTAGCTGCCGGCAGACCACCATGGCCTCCACGATGCCCCAGTTCTGGCCGCATACGGTCCCCCACACAAGGGACCCATTCCTCTCTGTTAGTACCTCCACTCGGCCCTCATAGGGATTACGGCCTCCATTCAGGCGCACCTGTGGATACCAGGAAACATGGTCGTGAGGATGAATGGGGAGTTCTCTCCATATTGCCAGTAGCTCCAAGCCAGGTGGTCCTACCTGGCCATCCTTGGATTCAGAGCATCCTTCAGAGGCCCCTGTGTGTCAAGTTATGCCAACATGAACTCAGTGAGGTCTTACCCTGGTGTCCAGACCTCCTGACACCACTCTTGGTAATATAAGAGCCTCCTAAGAGGTAACATGAATTAAGTGTTTAGCATCTGGATTCTGCTGGATTTGGTCACTCACTCATAGATACTAGGTGCCACTGACCACTCACAGAGCCTCTCTCATGTGGCTCTTTTCTTCCACTGAGAAGAAATGAAGCTTTGCGTAGCTGGACAAACATAACCCAGGGTCTTGTGCATGCTAAGCAAACAATCTACCACCTAAACCGCATCCCAGATCCCATTCCCTAATGCTTAGGCATAAGCTCCAATGCTATTTGCTCTGCTTGGAGGTGTGGCCTCTAAGGGGACAATTAAGGTCACATAAGACCATATGGCAATGCTATAATTCAACCAGCCTGGTGATGTCTTTATAAGGAGAAAAGAGCCCCTGGGGATGTAGCAGGCACAGAAAGAGGTTACATGAGGACAATAAGAAGGTGGCTGGAAACAGGTCAGAACAGAGGAGCTCCAGAAGACACTGAGCCTGGCAATGGCTTGGCCTGGCTGTATTCTCCTTGCAGAACCAGGAAAAGACCAATCCCATTGGTGAAGGTGACGGCATTTTGTCTTGTCAGCGGCAGCAAACCCAGGGTGATAAAACTCAGACGCTTTGATTCTGCCCAGCATGGTTGCTGGCACACTTAGGAGCCCCATGCAGTGCCTGGCTGGGCAACACTGCAAACATAAACCCTCCTGCCTCCGGATTGAGCTCAGGCAGGATAGCCTTGAACCTGTTCAGGCCTTTGGAAAGGTGAAAGCTCTGGCAGTGGGAATTCGGCCCCCCTGTTGCCACAATCAGGCATCTGGCTTGGCTCAGACCATCAGAAGGTTCTGGAAAGCCTCATTTCTTTGGCTGAGATCTGCCACATCACTCAGTGTTGGCCCATCTGGAGACTGACTCAGCACTTCCAGCTGGCCAGGGGTCGAATTTTATCAGGGCTCCCTTAGAATACTGCTCCAGAGGACAGATCTCCCCATGTGCGCACCCTAGCTCACCCACAAGGGAACGCACAGCTCAGCTGCCATGGCACAATTAAGGGTAGTGAATGACCTCAGGAGTGCCTTGCTGTTCTGGTGTTAAGGTCAAGGACTGCTGTCTAAACATCTGTCACCATGGTGTTTCTGTTTAAATGAGCGTACAATTTTAGCTCTATGACATGTCACGCAGCACCTGGCAATTTTAAGGTATAGCGGAGAGCATCGTGTAGGAAATCCTGGGTGTTTGCAGCATTGGCTAGTTTTCCTGAAGGACAAGAGGTGGCGGGTTCTTCTCTATGTGCATGGTGCAGCAAGCTTTTGAAGTCCTGCCTCAGGAAGGGCAGAGTCTGTCTCCAGTTGCAATTTTGCTGGCTTCTTAATTCCGTTTACACACTGCTGCCTGGGCCGTGCTCACACAGTGCTCTGTAGACATGCCATCTGTCCATGTGGCACCTCAGAGTCCTTGAAGAGGACCTATGCCGAAGGTGTCAGAGTATGGCTGACCTCGAGTCCCTTGTAGAGAATTCTGAGCTTCCACCGTAGCCATGGTTAGTCCCAAAGCAAAGGATAGTCTGCAGGGAGAGGTCAGATATTTGCCATACCAAGCACGGTCCACGTGTGGGCTCATTTGGCACGGTTAGAAATGTTGGGTGGCAATGACATCAACAGTGATGGTGGCAGAGCCAGAGTTGAGAGTTCATCTTAGAGCACTCTCCCCTTAGAGAGTCTTTCGGAGGAGGTGACCTGGGTGCCTTACACTGTATCCCTTGGGGCCCCGCCATCACAGGTCCCCCTGGGCACCCCACCTCCTCACCTTTTTCTGGAAGCCCATGATGGGAATGTTGCATCGTACACCAGCATCTTCCTCGTGGTTGCAGCCTTGAGACTCCGTGTTGAGTTTGCAGTCTATGATGGACTTCTCGGTCCCTGTGCATTGGACCTCATTGAGGTGGATGGGTCCAATCCCTGGGGAAGGGGAAAAAGATAGGTACTGTAAGACCACCTGGAGGAAGTTTCCTGGAACAGGCAAGGAAGACCCTGGAAAGCAGATTCTGCCTCTTCCGTGTTCAAAACTCACCCAACCCGGGCCCCTGCTCCCAAGAGAGAACTGGGCGTACATATTTTGCCATAGGTGTAAATAAAATTCACTATTAAACTACTACATAACCTTAGGGCAGATTGCTTAATATTAGGGTTTTGAATATAAAATCTTCCCCACAAGCTCATGCGTTTGAATATCTGGTCACCAGCTGGTGGTGCTGTTTTTGAAAGATTGTGAAAACTTTAGGAGACAGCGTTGCTGGAAAGAGGGAGTCACTGGGGAATGTGGGCTTTGAGCTTCGAAAGCCAGGTCAGCCTTCCGGTCCATTGTTTCCTTCCTGACTTCAGATGGAGGCGATGTGACCAGCCGCCTCACGCCTCACGCTCTGGCCTAAAACCAAATAAATCATCTTCTTAAGTCGCTTCTCTTTGGTCACATCGATGGGAACAGTAACTCATCCCCGCCTCCCTGGCCACTGGGTTTTTCTCTTTAATAAAGGAGTCAGACTAAAGGTGCTATTTTAGCCTGCAGCTGTCACATTCTGTGCATTCAGGAATCTGAAAGTAGTAATTGTGGCTGTACTTGTAAAAGTCCCTGCAGGAAACAGGTAGCCTGCAGACTCTTTAAAATACATTTAAGGGTGTAAAGAGTGTATCTCATAAGGTAGCCGAGAACCTGGGGCTTGGATACACCCCTGCGAGTGACAGAAGAGCCAATAACCAACTTAGGAGAGGCGTGGAGAGGAGAAGACCCCTGACAAGAGCTGTCACCCTCCATGGAGGAACACAGCGCTTGTGAGAACTGCCTAGGCCTTTCTCCTCTGGTCACCTTCAGTTCTCATCAGTGTCCTGTGTTGGCCAAGCCCAACTATGCCTTGAGGCACTGGGCATCATGGGTGAGGGTGGAAAGAGGACCTGGAAAGGCAGACAGGAGACGTGCTGCAGGCAACCTGGAGATGGCATCAGGAAGCTTCGGGGGTTGGGATGAGAGTGAGCCTCGGACCGGAGAGAAAGGCTACCCAGATCCCTCTGCTCACGCCTGCCATTCTCCTTTTCAAGCATGGTGAAGTTTTCGAAGAGTCTCCTGGTTTTGCCTCTTTCATCTTCCCTATCCTGTTTCTCCACAGATACCCCCCCCCAACCAGGAAATGGTACCTCTTAGCACACATGACATTGTTGGGACCTCAAGATCATCTCTGGCACCCCAGACAACCCACCCATCAAATTCTGCTCACTCGTTTCCCCAAATCTGGATGCTTAGTTCCCACTCCTCACTTCCCCAACACTGTATACAAATGAAAAAAAAAAATGATCTTTAGCATCCCTCTCTCTGCCCTATTCTAATAACTTCCCCCATGGGGTTTTAAATCCATGTCAAACACCTCCAATGGCTTCTCACTGCTCTTAGGGAGCAGTGTCCATGATCCACTAGGACCACATGGTCTGGGAGGCCCGGCACTATACGGCCTCCCACTTATGTTCCGGTTCTGCCCACGCCTCTCACCTCAGCCACAGAGGTCTCAGGCTCCTACCACCTCAGCCACAGGAACCTTAGGTGCCTCCCAGCTCAGCCGTAGGAATCTGGGATTCTGTCACGGAGCCAAGGGCTTCTCCCGCTGCATGGCTCACTCACCCTCTCACAGTCCACCCACTGCCACCCACCCATCCTTCATTTCCCGGAGAAGTCTTTTTGGCCCTCACTTTAATCCTGTCTGTGTTGCATTGTGTCTTGTAGCCCCATTTTGAGTGCTCTGATGATGTCATTCCTCCCCTCCTCCCCTCATGAGGGCAGGGACCCCATATTTTCCTTCTGGATATTCCCAGCCAGTGCCTGGCAAAACAGGAAATTCCCACAGTGTCCACACAGATGCAGCTGACACCACTGTATGTCTGTGACCTATTTGCCTGAATGCCATGGGTTATGGACTCAAGATAAGGCAGAATTTGCCCTGAAAACTTCTCAGTGCTTCAGCAGGCAGGAGTCACACAAAGACTTATGGCATAATGTGGTCAGAAACAAAGACAGAGAGAGTCGCAGGTTCCTTGGAGACCAGGAGTGCCTTTGGGCCCTATTAGGAGAGCGGAAGGTCTAGAGATAGCCACCATCTAGGTGTCCCGAGGCCCCAAACTGACTTTCAGAAGGAAGAGTGTCAAATTTCTGCTTTGAGAAATTTGTAAGTGAAGACATTTCCAGTCTCTTGGAATTTTACAAACTAGTAAAAACACTTAATGAAAAATCGCCGGAAGATTACAAAGTTCCAAAGCACAAAGGCTAAGACAAAATACAGATCCCCGCAAGGGAGCCAGAACCATAGGATCAGGGCTTGTGCTATAAATATGAAGATGGCGATAGAGAGATACCCATGGCTGACATTTACTGTGGATTGGAGCCAAATGCCCAGTTTATCTCATTTGAACACCACAGCAATCCCCTGCTGCACATGCAACAGGCCTGTCACATGCACTTCTTACTGTGGACAAAAGGCTTTTGCAGCCACTTCTTTAACACTGCCGTGCCAATAGACAGGAGCCAGTGGCTACTCAAAACGTAGCCCAGGATGACGACTCAACCTCTGTCTTTTCACTACCCATGGGTGTGGGTGTGGTTGCTTGTTCCATTGGCAAGGACATGGCTGTAAGCATCAAATACATGATGGATGACAAACCTATACTATGAAAATGTAAGCAATCTTGTTAGCAGTGTTTCTATCAATGACACGTGGAAATCGTAATAGTTTGGATATACTGGGTTTAGCAAAATATACTATTAAGAGTTAATTTCACCTGTAGTTCTTTTAAAGTGGCTACTAGAAAGTTCAAGATTACATACGTGGCTTGTTCTATGTTTCTTCTGGAAAGCACTGGTCTACAGAGTTGAAATGTTTCATCAAGTGTCTGTTCGGTTGACCTGTTTAACTGGAGTATGCCTCTTCTTCCTGGGGTCCCTCCCTCCTTCAGTCTCTCCCTGGACATCTCTGGAGCAGCACCTGCTGGGCACGGACTCTAAGAACAGGAGATGAGGCACACTGGCCTTTCCCTCATACATGGTTCAGTTGTTGGGGAAGGTGAGTCTGTCAGCAGACAACTGGGACCTGTTGGGGACCCTGAAGTACAGAGGGAAGAGCCTGCCCTACCATGGTGCCCATGCCATTGACACTAGAGCCAGAGGGAGCTGCACACATCACCTATCCAGCTATCTTGCTTTACAGTGAAGAATCTCGGAACCAGAAGGTTCTTCAAGGTCACCAGACAAGGATGTAGCCAGCCCAGGATGACGACTCAATCTCTGTCCTTTCACTACCCATGGGTGTGGGTGTGGTTGCTTGTTCCATTGGCTAGAGCCAGGACTCAGGAGCTGACCTTGAAAGTGGTACTTTTTCTTTCCTGACTACTATCGTCATCTCCCCAGTGAGGCAGAAGGCAGATGTATCTTCCATGGTGCCTTTAAGGCTAACATCAAAGGTACCCAAGGCCTCTTCTTCCAAAAATTCCTCAGGCACTTATAAACCGTTGGCTGCTCTGGGTGGTGAAAGAATTAGGTCATACAGAACCCACTCACAACACATGGAATGTCCATGTCATCTAGTGCTTGCTTGTTTATGCCCCAGGATGGGCAGCCCTGGTCCTATGGATCTTAGGAAGGCACAGACTTTCATGTGGATCAACTGACAGAGTGGACTATGGGAACTCTCTGTGAGGATCCTGACTTCCTCACTGGGATCTGAGGAGAGTGAGTTGTTGTGTGGCATAGCAGAGCCTATCTTTGGGTAACACAATATGCTGCTGTCCCGAACCACCTATCTGTTATTGTACACTTGGAACATCTGCATAAGAAAGGTTCAAACGCGATCAGATGGGTGGGCGAGCTGGGAGACAGTGTCAGAAAAAGGAAGCCAAAATTTTAGGTTAGGAAACTTGAGCTTTCGTCTGTCTGCCAACTATTGGAGTTCCCTGAACCTCAAATCCCTCACCTGATGGATCAGAGAAACTGAGTTCCTCTCCAACAGGGCAGGTCTATGACCCCAGGACTTTTCCCAGTTCATGCCCAGGGCTGCTGGGGGCATGGCACACTGCAGGACGGTCAAGCAGGTGAATTAGGAGAGATGAGCTACACTGCTAAGATGTGTGAGTTCTGTGTTCTTTAGCTGAGCTGGAGGTGAAGTTCAACCAGGATGCTGGAGCCCTAGCAGAGGGAACCACTGTGTGGTGTCCAGGGCCTGGGTGAGTGGGAGCTGTTACTTTCCTCAGGCTGCAGTGACTTCACCAGATTCCTTTCCGTGGGGTGATGACTCCATGTGCAAAAATATGGGTTTCCTCTCACAGCCTAGGACAGTGGTTCTCAAGCTCCCTAATGCTGCAACACTTTAAAATAGTTCCTCATGTCATGGTGACCCCCAACCATAAAATTATTTTCATTGCTACTTTATGATGATAATTTTGCTAGTGTTATGATTCATAATGTAAATATGTGCAGGATATCTGACATGTGACCTCCCCTTAGGGGTTGCAACCCACAGGTTAAGAACCACTGGCCTACAACATCCCATCTCTGTCTGTAGCCCAAGCCCCATCCTCCGTGCCATTGCCACCTCCCTGATGGTCAGTGATGAAGAGAGTCCCAGAAAAGACCAAAAGACTTTCTTTCTTCAAGCACAGTTCTTCAGGGCTGGCCCCTAGCAAGGCTGTTTGGTCTCAAGAAAGGCTCCTGATGGACCAGGGCTTTCAAGGCTGCTGGGCTCACCCAGGGGAGGTTACGGTCGGCTCTGTGGTCAAGGAGACAGAATTGCTCCCAGGGTCTCCCCACTGAAAGCCGCCCATACTTTTGCTCTTTACTCACACGAATGATTTAGTTGGGACACTCGATGAAAAACTAGCTTCTTTCTCATGACTGTCTCATGATGTCAGAGAGGGCTGCCCTGTTTCCTTTCTCTGCTCTCAGTGTCCCGATATTGGCAAGGGAGCACCAGGGTGGAAAAGCAAGGTGGTGGTTCTTTTGTGGTGTCCAGGGCCTGGGTGAACCATGCTTGATGGATTCTGAGGTCTTCCCCTGGAGGAAGGGCCAGGAATTCTGGCTTTCCCATTGGAGGGGCTGAGAAGACAGGTTGGGAGGTTGGAGACCTGGGCCACTATGTCCACTAGTTGCTGTTCTATCATCTCCCTTTGCCCATCCATCCTTTCTTTAGGTCGCAGTTCCAAATCCATCAAATGGAGATTTTATTTTCTCTAAGGATCTTGCACTCTGGGCAGGGGTGTTCCAGGATTCCTAATGGATGAGCCGCTGCAGCAAAGGAGCAGAGAAAGCTGAGCTTGAGGGGTTCATGGCTACCATCTGGGCCTAGGTTCCTATGGCCATATTTTCCCCTAAAAAGAAGCTCCTACCTTTAGCTACCCCATTCCTTACCTTGGCCCAGCCTGGAGCCCGTGACAGCCTCTTTAGCAGTCCCGAAGCCAAGCTCTCTGCAGACCACACTGGCAGATACCAGGTCCCACTTGTCATCGCAGACGGTTCCCCATTCACCATTCTTGAGCACCTCCACTCGGCCCTCCCCGACCTGGGCTCCTCCTCTCAGCCGCACCAAGGGTTGCTGGAGGGACACACGGTCCTGATGAGGGCAGAAGTGACACACACCCTTCGAGCTGCCACTGCCCCACGCCTTTTCCTCTCCCACCCCCACGGCCTTGCCAGATCCCCATAGCTCAGAGTCTAAAAGTGCTCAGCTTGTTAGCTTCCCACGGGCCTCTCTTTCCTGGACCACGAGGAATGCCATCCAAGACCCCCATCAGCTCATCATTCCTTCCTATGCTTGGCTCCTAGACCTTGCCATCTGCCATCTCTTTCTACCCCTCAGTTCTGGAGCCTCCAGCATTAGAGCTACAGAGAAGTTTCTACCTTCCAAGCCCACCGATTACAAGTGAATCTTTATTTTCCACAGCTCATAACAGAGTTTTACAGTCTAGTCCTGCAGGGAGCCCCCCTTGGTGAGGAGCCAAATGCAAGTGGTGATTCTGTTCATTAGAAGGGAGGCAAGAGGGAGCCTGCAGGAAGTGGTGAGACAGAGAATGAAAAAAAAGGGGGGGCCTTATCAGGGAAGACAGACTTAATCAGAACTTGACTCAAAGCAGGGAAGCTGCGAAAGATAGGGAACTTTCCTACTGAAGACCAACAGCCATGTGAGTCCAGTTCAAAAGCTGGAGCCTGTCCAGACATGCAGAGAGGGCAGAGAGGGTGGAGATGGTCATTTAAATGCCCCCAGTCTTACTCACTGTCTAGAAGCCTTAGCCCTCTTCTGGGACTTCTGGAATTACACAGGAGTAAGGCCTATTCCCCGCCAGTTTCATGAAGTCTGTGGATTATGTCTTAAAGGATGGGGATTGGCTTCACCTGTCTACACAGCGGCTTTGCCTCAGTTTCTGTGCATGTGTACATACCCATGATTGCTCACTCAATGTCTGTGTGTGTGTAAGTCTGGAAGGCTCTGAGTCTCTGCTGATACTCATTGGCTATGAAGCCACTGTAGTCAGACCAGACCAGAGACCTTGCTCTACTGCAACTTATGTGATCCTCAACCCTGGCTTCCTTCAGCCCATGGGGATGGTCAGGCCTGCCTGAAGGTGGTATGTTTCAAGCATGCAGGACCTCTGTCACCTTGAGGACCATGGCACCAAGTAAGAGCCTGTCTCTCTACTCTCCAGCCACCTCTTGCTTCCCCACACTGGCATCTTGGGGCTAGCCTTGCAAGGTGGGGTGCTGTGACACCACCCAGATTCACAGACTCCCCCAGGGACTGCTGAGCCTGGCACTAGTGGGAAAAGTAAAAGAGGGTGGATGAGTGCAAAACACTGAGTGGCTTCAGACACGTTTGTTCTTAGTTTAGAAAGCAGAGCACAGGGGGGGAAACCTCTGGCTACGGCCTCTGCTTTCCACAAAACGTGACCCTCTTTCCAAGCTCGTGAGTGGGCTGCAGGGGCCCCACACGCTCACGTGCGGCCACACCCTGGCCACAGCTAGATGGAGACAGAATATCAGATAGCCTAGCCACAGACTCTGGAAGTGGTCAGGTAGCCATCCAGCTGGCCATGGAGTGAAGACAGAAACCAAGGAAAAAATGAGGTCAGCCTCCCATTTTGTTCATTGGTTTGGTATGAACTTGACTCCTTTGAATTACACAGGACAGCAGAGGAATTCCAAAACAGTAGGATCTGGAACTCTGGATGACAGGGAAAGCTGGGGGCGGGTATATGTATGAGGGAGGCAGGGGAAGTGAGGGTTCAGGGCAGGGGCAGTTGGGGGCCTAGAAATAGCACTCTCCAGCTATGCCTGTGACACAGGGCTAAAGTGTCTGATAAAGTGGTCACATTATCTCTACTTCCACAGCCCCCTGAGGGGACTGAGAAGGCGAAGAGCTCACTATTTCTCAGAAATACC